TATTACGGACCCTTGCAAAACCTCTTTATCTCCTCTGTGCCTTATATGGAGCAGGTTATGAAGCCTAATATTAATGCAGCTTAAAAATAGAATCATCTACTCCATTAGGAGAACTGTGCATTTTTTTTCTTCAGAATGACTTCTGCTAAACAGAGAACCCTGTATATCATCAAACAGTGCCTAGAAAGGGCCAGAATAGTAATTTTTAAAAAATATTTTTTAGTTGTAGTTGGACATAATAAAATCTTTATTTATTTTTATGTGGTGCTAAGGATCGAACCCAGGGCCTTACACATGCTAGGCAAGTACTCTACCACTGAGCCATAACCTTAGCCCCAGAATAGAATTTTTAAAAATTTTTTTTATTAGGGCTGGGGCTATAGCTCAGTGGTAGAGCAGCCGCCTCACACGTGTGAGGCACTGGGTTCGATTGTCAGCACCACATAAAAATAAATGGATATTGTGTCCATCTATAACTAAAAAAATATTTTTAAAAAAATTTGTTAGTTATTGATGGACCATTATTTATTTATATGTGGTGCTGAAAATTGAACCTAGTGCCTCAAACATGCTAGACAAGCGTTCTACCACGGAGCCACAACCTCAACCCTAGAACGGTTTCTTAAATAGAAAAGGGCACTGTACTTTTTCAGATAGGTAAGTGATTTCCAGTAAGTTTCATGGCACCTCTACTGATTTCTATTTGCTTCCTGTGGAAATTGCAAATTTTCCAAAATTGTCTGTTTGGCTCTTTTAATTTTTAAAAAATTATAAAATGGGAATACCTACCCCACATATTGTTATCATGAATGAGATAAATAATCATATAAAATGGGAGAGCTCTGGAAATTGTGAAGTAATGTACAAGTTGCCACTGTTACGCTGATTTACTTCCTTAACGCTGTTCATCTGTTTAGATTTATCACATCAAAAAGAAAGCGTGATGGTGAAATGTGATGGATATCATTATCCAAAGTACATGTATGAAGACATGAATTGGTGTGAATATACTTTATATACAAACAGAGATATGAAAAATTGTGTTTTATATGTGATGCCTTTCACTGTCATGTATTTAAAAAAATAAAAGCAATTAAAAAAAAAAAAAAAAGGAAAGCGCTTAGCCACACAGTACTTGATAACAGTCAAGAGATCAATTCCTAATGGCTGGCTGTTGACTCTCATACCTTCGCACTCTCAGTGCCTTGCATAGAGCTCAGAACACTTCTCAATGATTATGAAAAATAAAAAAAAGCCTTCCAATTCAAGCAGAAAATACACAGGTCTATTAATTATCAGCAGACCTGTGGTACACACAGTTGAACATGGCACTAACCCTCAATTCTCATCTTTAAAATGTAGCTTCTGGCCTGTTTTCATCACAGAATTATAAGACAAAATACAATGGACACAGAACTTCTTTTTAAAGAGGACTACACTGCACACACTATTTTCTTCCTATCCCACTCAGAATTAGGCTAGGTATTCTTAGGGCATCTTCTCCAAAATGCCCCAGGAATTGATTACTTTTGAGGAATTCGGTAAAAATTTTTTCAAACAAATGTTAGAGCAAAAACTGCCAATCTAATCCACTGGCTATCCCCACTGCACAACTGCAAAACTTATCTTGATTTCAACTATTTCCTTTTATCCCCATTATTACCATCTTTATTGTAGAAGCCACCACCACATTGTTGCTTGCCTGAATATCTGCTATACTTTTCAAACTGGTTTTCCAGCTTTTCTATTTGTCCTTCCAACAGGATCAAATCAAAGTAACTGTATAATACAACTAAACAACCTGCAGACCATAAATTGGACCCTGTCACTTCTGCTTAAAATTCTGTAGTACTCAGAGGCAGATTCTTTAAGTTAAACCTATAAGGCCCCACATTAAGGACCCAGCAAACTACTGCCTATCAGTCTAATTCAACTTGTCACCTACCTGTTTCTGTAAATGCAGCTTTACTGGAGCACAGCCACATACTGTCTACAGATGCTCTGTACTGCAATAAAAGAGTTGAGTAGTTATAACAGAGATCACATGGCTTGCCCAGACTAATACTATCTGGCCCCTTACAAAGTTTGCCTGCCCCTTTTCTGTATCTCAGATGGAAAACTAAGCCTTTTCTACCTGGGAGTCTTTGCACGTCCTGATTGAACTGACCAGGATGACCTTCACTCGTTGTTCCATGACTGCTTTCGTTATCACTCAGGTTTCAGCTTCAGTGTCAACTCCTGTGTGATTCCTGTCCAATCAGTCTGGAATGGCCCTTTCAACTACCCTAGTCACTTACCTATTATGGGGGGAGGGGGAAAAAAAAGTCATTTTTTTTTCCTAAGATTCCCAGGGCCTTGTGCATGCTAGGCAAGTGTTCTACCACTGACTGAGCCTGGTACTTAAAAAAAATATATAGGTGAGAAGTCTACCCCTGAGCCACAACCCTAGCCTATGGAGTAGGAATCTTAACTAAAATGTACATTTAGAATTAGCCAGTTGGATTTAGTTTAGATGATTCCAGTTTTGTTGGCAATATTTCAAATATCCTAACCAGGAGCCAGCTGAACATATTTCTTTTTCCATCAGGCCTAATCTGGGTATTGATCTTGGTTGGTAATATCAATGTCATAAAACTTTTTCATAGGCTGATTAATCTGGTACTGTTGGCCTTGATACTCAAAACACACACAAGCATGTTATCATCTTCCATCTTCTTCATGGCAGACTCAGTGGTTAGAGGAACTTAATAACAGCATAGTGGTTGAACCTGCCTGGGGTATCTGGGCTGCCTCTGGAGCCAGAGTGTCACAGGTAATGTATGCCTTTCAGCACTACCTTCTTGGTCTTCAAAGCGTTTGCTTTGGATTTGGCTTTGGCAAGGGCAGGAGGAGCTTCCTTCTTCACTTTTGGTGCCATCTTGGTAAAAAGGGTCCAATACCATGGTACAGACTATTAATTACATACTAGTTTTGTTCTCTCTCTCATTAGAATATAAGCTTTAGGAGAGACCTTAATTTGCTCACCCAACCATCATTTTAATCAGCATAATAAGCTTAGCACCAAAATAATGTCCAGCATTGTTTTTGAATGAGAATGAAAAAATATCTGCTAAACAGATGAGGTCAAGGCCAGGGAAACTATGCCAGTTCAAAGGAGATTTCAAAGGTCAGTTCCAACATAGCAGGCTTACTTTAACACTGGTCTGACCTCATCATAAAAGGCCAGAGGAAGATTAATCATTATTCCTGGCTCTATTATGGGGAAAACAACCCTACCGAGAGCATATTCTGCTGAATGTGGGTCCAACTTGCCCTTATTAGGTAAGGACAACACTGGGAAAACCAGGCAAGGTCAGATGATAGGACTAACAAAAAAAAGTTCTCAACTTTATTATGGTTAAGAATTTTATTATCAAAATTATTACATCTCTTGTGAAAGTTCAAATGTTACAGCAAGGTGTAAACACTCCACTTGAGAAAGAAGTGAAACTTCTTCCCTTCCAAGAGTTCCCCCCACCCCCCGCCCCCACCCCCCCTAGAGGTCTGGTCTTGACAGCACCCTGCCCACACAGAGTGGCTGGGGTCTCTGCACGTGCCAGGCAGGGTGAGGGCCGCCTGCCCGCTGGCCTCTCCCCTTGGTTAATAGCCAAGGGGAGAATGCAAACCCCAGCCCAAATGGAGAGACATTTACATACGTTTTATATAATATACAAAGAAACCGGCATCCCAGGCAACATGATTTCCACTCCCAACGCTCTCCCAGACTGATGGGTTTGTGGGGGAAACAACAAAAAGAAAAGTACTCTGCTTAAGTTTCAGCATTGGGGGAAAAAAAAAAAATCTCCCCTCATTTGAGCAAACACCTGATTTCAAATTTTGAAAAGTGAAATTTTGTAACAGTCACACACAAAGAGAGAAGACTGTGCATATGATAGTTGTAGGACAGGATAGAAAAGAAAGGGATGCAAGAGGCTGGTTAAAAAAAGGAGAAAACAAATTAGAGGGAAGGAGGGAGACTCACAGTATTATCTTGTCCAAAAGAAAAGAAGTAAGGTCCACTGCAGCACCAGGGATCACACCTGTCATATACTCACTACCCCTACCATGGTTATAACTGAATACAAAATTAGATAAATAAAAACACGCCGGATATTACAGTAAACAAGTGAAAGAAATAAGCTGGCAACCGTATGGAATTTTAAAAGATTGTGTACCCCACCTGGGCTGGCTCCAGGGCTCCTCCAGGGGTGTACAACAGGCACAATGCACTGATGGGGAGAAGCCAGTCTGCTCTCGTCTCATCCAGAACAGTGTTAGGGGTGTGGGTGGCTTGCTAACTCCCTCACCGGCCCACTCTCACATAAGCATCCCCCAAAGAAACGTGGGGCAGGCCCACACACAATCACAGTCCTGTCGGTGCCACTCCACAAACCTATCTTCCCATTCTTACCCTGCAAGTCACAAGTGCATGCTCCCCAATCATGGAGGCGGTCCTGCTCATGGGATCGTCAACTCCTGATTAGTTGGGAGTAGAAAAAAATAAAATTCAAAGAAATCCCAGACCACTTGGGATCCTTCCTAATCAAATCTATTGCCAAAAGCTGTTAAGTAGCAATGCAATTGGCCCATCTCACTTCKCATTCCACTTCTGTCTACTTACTCCATGGGTTACTAAGCTGTGTAACAGCTTGGGAAGGAGGAATAGAAGATTGTCGGCTCCCAAATAATCAAGAGCTGACCACAAGCTCATTTCAGAGAGCCAAGCATCCCTCAGTTGGAGCAAGATCCAAGCTTTATTATCCCTGCCTATTTCCTGGTGATTTAAGACAAAGGTAGGGAGTACACTTGGTGAACACACCTTGGCCAGATATCTGCTTTTGGAATGGTTGTCTTAGGGATAAGATTTACATACCTACCTTTATTCTTAAGTGCATAAAACCCTAACACTATTCAGATGGCTTGGGGCTTTGAGATTGGCTCTTTTCACTTTTTTTCCTTTGAAACAAAAACTTTTTTTTAATTTTTTTTTTTTTTTTATTATTTAAAAAGATGTCCTCACTGCACAAGTGACTACAGGCTACAGGCAAGGATGGGAGACAGAGGCTTCAACACAACTCATTGCACTTAGAACCGTTACTAACCAAAACACCATTTGCTTGTCAACAATGTACCCTTAACAGCAGGGAGAAACTTCTTTATAGTCTCTGCTTCAGACAAGATTTACATCTTTCTCCAAGGCCAGAGGCCAGTTGGGACCACAAGTCTTGTTTCTTGTCGACCAGACCCAATCCTCTGGCATCTTGTACCCCCCTCCTCCAGCAATATGCTCGGCCCAGGATCCAGAGGCAGCTGGAAGGAAGCAGCTATGGGCTTGTTCAGTTCTGTATGCCCATGTCCAGAAGCCCTAGGAAAGTCCTGTCTGAGTCTTGACTCCTGACCCTTGCAGTGGCTGGAGTCGGTACTGGTGCACACTCCCACTCCCACGGTGTGGGTAGTGCTGTGAATTGGAAACCGCAGATACCCTGGAGGCCTGGTAGGCAGCGGACTGCCCAGCACTGGGCAGACTGATAGTCCGTAAGTCTGATGGCAATGACGACCTAGAGTTCTGAGCAAAGGAGGTGGAACTCAGAGTTCCTGTGCTGGACTGAGAAACCGAGTCTGAGGTTGGTGAGTCTGAGGGGCCCTGTGGGGTAGGGCTAGCAGCACTAGAAGGACAGCTCCTCCTGGGAAGATTGCTGCCAGTGCTGTTTCCAGAATGTGGCTGGCTGCTATAATACCCTGGTGTCCCTGTAAATGGGGCCAACGAGTCTGTGGACACAGGGTGGGCGGGGCTGGGATAGGACGCAGAAGAGAGGGATGATTCAGAAGAACCGTGAGAAGGGGGGTTTCCAGGTCTCAGTGCAGTAGTTCGATAACTGTATCCTGGAGATTGGGTGGGATGTCCTCTAAAGGGAGAGGAACTCTGTTGAAGGAGACTTTGTGATTCTGTCCGTGGACTATCACACTGCAGGAGCTAGAAAGAGTTTGGAGGAAAGCATAAGGAAGTGAACAAGTCTCTTCAATGGCTTGTGATCTTCACATTTATAACTTTTTTTTTTTTTTGATACTAAAGGCAGCCAACTCTTTGTCTCTGATCACCTTATTTACGTTTGTGGTATGATTTATACTTGAGGGAAGGCAGAAAACAACTTACTTCCAAGCCTGCTGAGTCAATGCCAACACCAGCATCTCCTGTACAGGATGGCTTGGATCACAAAACATTCAGAAATGAGAATATATTCTTCTACCCAGAGATCAGCACTTTCTCAACTTACCTGGTAGCTGTATCTGGAAGGGCTGTAAACAGTTGCTCCTTTAGAGAGCGCTGAGCTCAATGTCTCTGAGCCTTCTCCATCTGCAGGGTCTAGAAGGTATTATAAAATCAACTTGGCATCTCAGAGCAAGAGAGAAAACAGCCAAATCACCAATGCCATCACCAACCCATGCTGCTCTCTATGACAAACTGAGTGAGTGCAGCATGCCAGAAGGGCAAAAGGAGTGGTTAATTATGGGCTATGTTTTAAATGCCTGATCTGATTCCCGTCTCCTTCCTTCTCTTCATCCTTCATCGAGGTGGAGCTCCAGGAATTTGGAGAGATGAGAGTTACAGAAAGGTATCCCTTGGGAAAAAAGAGCAGACAGAGAGCAAGCAATGCTAGACCTTACAAAATGATGTAGGCCCAAAGAGCAAGACTGAGCTGGAGCCTAGCAAATAGCAGAACCCAAGTGTGCCAGAAACTGACTCACCTCACCCTAGCATTTGGCATAAACCGTGAAGAGCCTGGCTTATGTGTCCCTCAACCTGATTGACAGAAGGCRGTCATAGACTCACCTGAATCTTTCTCAGTGATGTTACTCTCCCACGTGGGAGAGGGTTCTCCCTTTTGGGCCACCCTCACACTGCTTCGGAGGACCTTAGGGATGCTCCCTCCTTCTCGAAGTCTTTCTACTGACGTGGGAACCATCCTGCAAAGGTGAGAGGGGCAAGTTTAAGCCAGAAGACTTATGAGTCAAAGAGTCTAAAACAAATGAAGCTCTCACATAGGCTGTACAATATATTCTCTCAAAAGAAAAATCACTTTTAAGGATGAAGAAATAAAGGGAAAAAATGAGTTAAAGATATCAACTTTTTAAGTCCCCATTTTGAAATGCTAAATTTGCTCCTCTATGAAATTATGTACCTGACAGCGAAGTAGCAGTTTAATAAAGGGTTTCTTAATGAACATAATCATTTGAGCCATGTTTTTTCTTTCTCAGACTCAGTTTAAGATGTCTGTGTTTCATTCTCTATTTTACTCTTTGATATTCAGATTTTTTTTTTTTTAATTTTTTTTTTTTAATATTTATTTTCTAGTTCTCGGCGGACACAACATCTTTGTTGGTATGTGGTGCTGAGGATCGAACCCGGGCCGCACGCATGCGAGGCGAGCGCGCTACCGCTTGAGCCACATCCCCAGCCCCTGATATTCAGATCTTGTCACCAGTATTATTTACTTTTTTCTCCCATTTTCCCCATATTAGGGATTGAACTCTAGTGCTACATCCCCAGCACCATCCTTTTAATTTTTTATTTTGAAATAGGGTCTCACTAAGTTGTCCAGGCTAGCCTTGAACTCCTGCTTTAGACTCCCAAGTAGCCAGATTTGTTAAGTGTTTGTCACCACACCCAGCTTATTTCCTTTTCTAGCGGTCTCCCCTAAACCAGATAAGTTCTTTTAGAATGTTTTGTTGTTCTGAATATGCTAGTTGCATGGAACACAGATATCTGTTGCTAATTCAAATGGAACTTGGCTGGACTCCTGACTTACCTTTTACGTGAACTGAGAAAATAGGTGAGGCAGTGTTAATGCTCACCAAACAAAATAGTTTAAGGCCATCCATAGCTGTATGTTGTCTAAGAGTGCTACTCTATAGATTTGCTGGTAATTCTTTGCTTCTGTATGGCTAGAAATGTAGCTAATACTATTAAATCAGCTGAGGAGGACAGATAGCACTCTTAGACAGCTGTGCTATTAGATAAAGTGCTCCCAAATACTTAATATCAAATTGGGAATGATTCTAGAGGTATACTTCCCTCCTGAATTTAACTATAAAGCATCAAATATAAACTTACCACCTACTACTGATATTTTCTTGAGGTCTGCAGTGAGATGAAGTGCCTCTGGAATCCGATGGGCTTACTGCCTCCAAATGGGACATTGAGGAATGAGATGGGGAGAATTTTTTATGAGGGGACGATGGGGTTCGGGCTGAGGATCCCTGCACACCATGGGCACCAGTGTCAGAAACAGAGTTACTGTTGCTCTGCCCAGCTCCTGCAGACTTGCTTTTGCTCTGTGCAGAGTCTCCTCCCCCACCAGCAGAATTCTCCTTGGCTTCTTGTTTCCGTTTACGGTACTCCAGCAGGGATACCTAGAAAGAAAAAAAAGAAAGAAACAGTACATTAGTTGGATATCATTAGTGGAGTACTAGCAACGGGGAAAGAAGATGGAACCCCAACAAACCATTGGTCAAGCCGTGCAAATAAAGCAGGTACCAAACATGACAACTTTTTCTAGGTGTGACAGTTCTGAGCAGTTACAAATTTGAGACAGAAATCAGTAAATGGAAGAGAACAGTCTAGGAGATGCCATTTTTGAATAACGTATTCATCAAGCAGACTGCAACCTTTTCCAGGAAAACCTGTTAGATTACCATTACACATCACAGAAGTGTGTGATAGTTATTTGCATATATGGGAATACTTAGAAAATGGAAAGCTTGTATAATTACAGAAAGTCTCCCCAGGTGATTCTTTTTTGGGGGGTGCTAGGAGTTGAATCCAGAACCTCGCACATACCAGATAAACACTCTAGTGAGCTACATTTCCAGTCTTTTACTTTTTATTTTGAGACAGGGTCTTGCTAAGTTGCTGAGGCTGGCCTGGAACTTGTGATCCTCTGGCTTCAATCTACAGGGTTCGCTTGGGATTACAGGCCTGTGCCACCACATCAGCTGCTTAGCCCTTTTAAAATACTATTTTGAGGCAGGGTCTTGCTAAGTTGCCCAGGATATCCTCAAATTTGGGATTCTCCTGCCTCAGATTCTAAAGTAGGTGGTAATATAGGTATGTGCTTCTCAGGACTCTGGCCTTCCAGGAGATTTTGATGGCTATTGTTCATTGACTACAAATCTAAGGAGTTAGGTGTTAAAGAAAAAAGAAAGCCAATGTTCTGAGGTTTTAAATATGCTCTTATTTTTCAAGACATAGAGATTTAGTATTATTTGTCTTATACATAGAGACACTAAAATAAAAAGAGAAGAAATTACCAGTTTATAATTTAGCCAAGTTACCTCTAGAAAACCTATACCTACCTGGAAACTTCCCCAGTGCCCCCATCACCTGCCTCACTCATTCTTTCTTTCTTAAAACAAAACTATCTATATATCTCCTTTATTTTATGTATTTATCTTTATGTGGTGCTGAGGACTGAACATTGAACCCAAGGCCTCACACATGCCAGGCAAGCACTGTACCAGTGAGTCACAACCCCAGCCCACTCATTATTTTTTGAGTGCCACAATAGACCCTATTTCCTGCCTCCCTGGCACATGCCTCTTTGCTGATGTACCACACCTGCTTATGTCGAATGCTATACAATGTCTTGCCAATTCCTGAATAAACTGTAAGTTGTATGAGGGTAGAGACCAAGTTTATTTGGCTGTTAGAAACAAATGCCCCCCACAAACAACAACAAAAAAACCGAACCAACCAACCAAACAAAAACCCTCCAAACTGCACAAAAACTTGGTATACTTCACTTGCCCAATACATTTTCAGAAATGATTCTGAATAATAATTTCAATCACCTTTGGGCATAATAAATAAATGAAACTAGAAATTCAGGTTATTTTTGTTTCTGGTAGTCAGCACTATTCATGCCAGTCTTTGAAACCCATTACTCTCTTATTTAAAATTACCTGCTTGAATTTCCTACTCCTTCTATCCCCTAAGGGTTCTCATTTTTCTGTCCAACTGTAAAAATATTGATAGTAAAGATAATTGTTTACATGCATTACTATACATAATCTTGGAAAGAAGCCAGTAATAATAAATTCTGGTAATGCATTATCACTGTAATAAAAATACAAGAAGCCACTAAGTTTGCAACAAGCATGTATTTTTGCCACACAGAAAATTTGGCATCATTAGCCCTGAACAATAAATGCAAGTCACTGTGTAAACCACAAAGTACTCCCATGCATTTTCAAATGCCCATAGTTGAGAACCACTGATACAAAAAGTACACTTTAGGTTTTGTGATTTCTAGAACAGGTATAAGCTCTCCTGGCATTGCTAATCTCATTACCTTTCTTTGGGCGCTCTTATTTTTTACCTGACACTGTAACCACATTCAACTGTTTGTATCACAATGCACCCCTGCTGCTGACCTAGTGGAGTGTCACAGATTTACTTGCTCTGCTCATTCTACTACAATATCTTCACCCTCATTTGTTGGCTGCCTGACTCTTGCTTCCTGTTCGAGATTCAACCAAAGCAATAACTGCAATTTCTCACTCTACCTCAATCCCTTAAACTGGCTAAAGACCTCATGCCTATTTTCAAAGTACTTTCTACCTATCAGACTAGGCCAAGTTCCTCAGCTATTGTGCTCTTACGACATGTGAATAATTCCTTTGGAGCATCCATCTCACTATTAATGTAATTATCTCTAAAGCTCACTCTCACTTTCTATAAGCTATTAGGGGAGAATCTAGGTAATCTAGCAAGGTGGAAATATAAGCATGCAATCTGGAATTAGACAGTGTCCTGATTTTTCCATTTACTATGAGTGACCATGGGCTAGTTTTTCAAGTTGCCTTAGTTTCTTTATCTGCAAAATGGGAAATCACCTATCTCACAGGACATGGTTAGGATAAAATGAATGTAAATTGCTTCATCACAGTGTCAAAAACCTGGGAAGTGCTGAATAATCTAAATTTTTTCCTTTTCACTGTGTTAGCCTTTCAACTGTCTAGCAAATATATGGCACATAACAGATATTTAAATTTGTTGGATATTTATTATTATATTTTGTGCTGGGGCTGGAACCTGGGTCCTCATGCATGTCAGCCAAGTGCTCTAACACCAAACTACGTCACCAGCCCTGAATATTTATAATACTCACCAAAATATACTGACTTTCACTAGGTATGATAGAGACTAGGTCTTACTTATATGAGAAGCCTGAGCACCTGGAACTTGGTAAATATCCACCGAATTATTCGATTAATGGTTTTGGGGAGTGGGGGGCTCTGTAACATGACTTACCTTTTTCCTTTGTGGTGGGTTCTGGGGGGCAGATGGGACCCCTTCACAGGTCCTTTCACCACCAGGTGACAGGGATCCACGAGAAAGGTCTTTCATAAAGCCATGTTCATATCTGCTGGGGAACCCTTCCGCTGGGGAACAATATCCCCCATCCAAATGTAAAGGCTTCCTATCCCCTACTAGGGGAGACCCTCTATATAATCCATCTGCTCGAGGCATAGCATTCAAAGGGGAGTAGGCATACATCAAATTGAACTCTGTCCGAAATGCCTGGTCTGAGTTTCTCAGGAGGGTCTGATGTCCATCTCCACTTCTGCTTGGGAAGCCAGTCTCTGAGGTGGGCCCAATGGAGGGATGAGGAGCCAGGTCAGAATGACCTGAGTTGAGCAGGGAAGGTCTGTCAGCACAGTTGTTAGTGTTGGAATCAAGGTATCCTACTTTTGTCAAATCCAGGTCTTTTCGGTGACAGAGCTGAAAGAATAAAAATCAACGGAGACATAGGGCAGGGGAGAAAGGAAAAAGTCAAAGGGTAGAAAGGGAGGTGAGAGGGGCAAAGGTGAACAAGGAAAGAAAAGAGGGATGGAAGTAGAGGAGAGAAAGCCATTAACATTGGTGAAAGTTCCACAAAGCAATAGATACAGGCCAGATTACTAAAGAATCCTGGCCTTTCCCAAAATGCTTTAAAGTCTTTCTGGATGAGAATACTGGGAAAGTTAGAATTAGGTAACTGGCCAAATGTGTCTATTTTGCCTGCTTAGCCTTTCATCAGGTTTGCTGAGTCATTGTGCACTATACTATAAGGGACTGGTGGTATAATTTGGAATATACCTGAGCCCCATGCAAACTACACAGGTACCTTAAGATTAACTGGCTTTTGGTGTTATTAATTTTTACTATTGATGGAAGGTGGGTGTAGGGAAAAAGGTGGAGAAAAGTAGAAGGTAGACAGAAAGGCAAGTATTTAAGCTACTGGTTCAGTAAAGGAGAATGGCATTAAAGACATCAACCAACCAGTTCTTCATTCACTTTCACTGTTAAATAAGTGTTTCTCATCTTATACAACTTCCTGACCACTCAATTCTTTCTTTATCCTCTAATGTATGCCAAACATATCACAAGACCACTGATGCTCAACATTGCAGAGCATGTGAAATGCTGAAATGTACCAAAAATAAACTTCACCTTCAATTTGGTTATCATTAGCTCTAACACCAAGATTTACCACCACTAGGCCAACTGTAGCTTAACTGTCTACAAAGCATGGTATCAAAACCCCAAATGCCACACCATGTCAGTCTCCAAATTATATTAACTTAGAATTTTTAACAACCAGCTGAGGAGAAAGTGAGTGAGCTATACTTTCCTAACAAGATCGTTAAAATACCTGCTACATTAGTAGAACACAACCCTTTTCCAGTTTCATACTGATTTTATAAAATCTGACAGATGCAGAGTTTGGCTAACTCTCATGGACTTTAGCCCTAATTTTTAAATTGGAAGTGAGTGAGTGGGGTTAAAGTTTCAGTAGATTCTGAAAGGTTATGAGACTTTCTCTTTAAGAGGAAATAGTTTCCATGTAGACTCATGGGGTTAATGATGACTACATTAAGCCAAACCGTACAATAAAAACTCTAGCACTAAAATCTGATTTTGGCATTTCCATAGCATTAAGGTTTCTGAAAAACACACTCAACTGATATTCTAAGAGATACCACTTGTACAGCAACTATATCCCAACCACTGCAGAATGGAGGGAGGCCTATGACACAGAAGCCATGGACTCAAGTTTCCTTACACACCCATTAAGAAGCTATAGAGAAGATTTAAGAAAGCTGTGAGACAGAATAACTTTCCTAAGGAAGCTTCTTTAATCTATCAACCACAACCCCAAACGTCTGGTTACATAGAGCTGTCAGATTAACCCTGGAACAAGGCATAAGTCACTGTCCAACTCTTCCAATATACACTGCCTAAGAAAATAAATATTAAAAGACATCTCCTACCAACTTTCCTTATTTGTTAACAAAGAGACCTTATTTATTAATGACTTTAACAAGGCTCTTATCACATACTCAGCATCCATTAAACTTCTAATTCTGTTCTTCTTTAATAGAATTCTTCAGCCACCCCCTCCCCCAAACAACAAAGATCAACCCCATCACATACACATGGCTGCTTAAATTTTCCTCTATCTACATGAACAATCCTGTGTAGTCACAGTCACACAGGAAGAAAGATTCATTCAACTTGCTGTGACTGATCGGCCGCCCTCCAGCCCATCTCCCCATTCACTCAGACCCCCAGCCCTCCCCATACACTCAGGAACACACTCATGCACACTCACTCTCAGCCTCCAAGTGTGATTGAGATGGTGTGATAACTACCTCGGGTGACAGGGACTCGGGCCTATGCGCAGGGGAACTCTCAGGGGAGGATATGTTCTAGAGGAGGGAAAAGCATCTTGTTATTCATCTACTCCAAGTCAAGAAGCAAAACAAAACAAACAAAAAATAAAGCAAGCATAGATGTTAGCCACAACTTGGGGAGGAGGGGAGGTGTTGGATAAGAATGCACCGGGGAAATGTTTAACTGCAGAATTCATCTAAATGGATAGAATGACTTATTAAAATGCTTCCTGGGGTCTTCGAAAGCATTTAAGGAAAAACTGGTTATAATGTTTCATGCTGTAAGTAAACACCTCAAGCATACTATCAGGAAAGAGTTAGGTGAAATTTTACAGGGTTATATATTTCTTTGTATCAGAAGAAAGTTTAGCAACCTTTAGTACTTGTTATTGAAGGCATCCTACTCCCTATTCCTTCTTAGAGGAACCTTGTTCATACACCCACATCCCTTCTGATCATCCCATTCCTTCATTGTCTTATGTCTCAGGCCACCATGGTTATCCAGGGGAACATCTTAGCAAACTGAGGACTAACAAGGACTGGTCAGTTTCTCTTGAATGAGAGCCCAAGGAAGTGTGAGTGATGAAATCCCTAACTTACAAGCTGGATTTAGCTCTTGGCACAATCTAATTGGACCGGAGCACTTCTAACAATATTATCTTGGTTAGCATCCATTTTACTTCAGGGAACACAGCAAAAAAAAGAAAAAACATGTATGTTCACCTAGAATCTATACAGGGTAGCACTCTCACCTGAGGCAGCACTCGCCCAACAACAGGGACTAGGCAGTGGGCTCATGATAGGTAGATGTAAATGACATGTAAAGAAAGTAATGGTGCCGACTGTGACAAGGATTCAGAATGCAAGGGCTGGGGTGAGAAAAGGATTTCCCAACATTGTGGACTCTGGACAAGTGTGGCCCTGGTGGCTGACCTATGCTCTAGTGGGTAGGATTAATGATGCTGTTTTCAGCAGAGCAGGCTTTTAGCTGTGAAATTTACTCAGTGGATGGTGGCTAGTATCTGTGTAGAGTACGGATCTGAGAGCAGAAAGAGAAGGGAAGGGTTATTCTAGTGGAAAGGAGAGGTGAATTAAGCTTGCCTTCCCAATGTTACTTTAATTTCTCTTTCTAGATGCTGTCCCCCACACYGGCCCACTACCTCAGCACTGGAGTTTCCTCACTTATCTCCTGAATATCCTTCCCTTTTCAAAAATATTTTCCCACAAAGTAAGCTGTTTTTTTTACTTGTAATATTTTTTTTTGATATTTCTTTATCATAGGTTTTCACGGACAAAAGGCTACTTATCTGTACTAGAATATACATAGAGTGTGGCCATTAGTATCATAATAAGGATGGGTCAGGGAGGTAAAGTTTCTCTTTTTTCTTTTTAATATTTATTTTTCAGTTATAGATGGACACAGTGTCTTTATTTTATATTTACGTGGTGCTGAGGACCGAACCGAGTGCCTCACGAAAGCTAGGCGAGCGCTCTATCTCTGAGCCACAATTCCAGCCCCTTCCTCTTCTTTTTAAATGAGAAAGGCTAAATTTCCTTAGTTAAATCACAAGTTTTACAACAGTGGAACCTTGCAGTGGAATTTTTGCTATTTAATATTTTCTTTCCTTCCTGGTATTCTGCTTCATTAAAATGATTTTTGAGTTTTTAAATTTTTTAAATAAATAAAAACCCCTTGTGTTTGTATAGTGTTTCACAATTATTCAAAACAATATAAGGAATACAGAATGCACTGACTGCTTGTTTTGGAGGAAAACTTACTTTCTAATTTCTGTAATATCACTTATAATAATATAATTTGCCTTGATAAAGTATGCTATTATATTCATATAATCTAATGGCCTCCAGAGAGAATTTTCTCTCATGATATATATATATATCTTTAGTTATAGATGAACATAATGCCTTTGTTTATTTTTATGGGGTGCTGAGGATTTAAACCTAGTGCTTCACATGTGCTAGGTAAGAACTCTACCACTGAGTTATAACCCAAGCTCCTCTCATGATATCTTATTATTATAAAATTCAAATTGCTTAATGAAAAGTCAACTGCAAGTACATAAAATAAAATTAAAAAGTTTTGAATTTGCTGCCTTAAAATTCCCTAACAAGAATACCATATGGAATTTGATAAAGAGTAATTTTTCTAGAAAGGTCAAACACAACCAGGAGGTCCCCCCCCCCACCAGAAGGAAGTTTTTTTTTTTTTTTTAAATCTTTATTTTTTAGTTGTAGTTGGACACAACACCTTTGTTTCACTTGTTTATTTTTGTATGTGGTGCTGAGGATCGAACCCAGGGTCTCGCACCTGCAAGGCAAGCACTCCACCGCTGAGCCACAACCCCAGCTCCAGGAAGTTTTGTTCCAAAAGTAAGATATTATGATCTAAAGTAAGGTACAGAACAAAGCTGTGCTTTCAATGTTATTTTCTCCTTCTGAGTAAACACAAAAATTCCAGCTATTTTTACTCTTTACTCTCTCAAAAAGGCTTAATAGGGAGGGTGGGATTGGTTAGAACATTTAATGATAAAAACAACCTCTAGAGAAGTGAAAGCTAAGTACGTTTAGTGGTCAGAAAAAAGGTTTCTGAGAAGAAATAGTGTTCATTTAATGTAATTACAGAAGAAAGCAACATGCAAAAGATGAGTTAAAAAAACCAAAAAACAAAACAAAAAAAACCGCATGGACTCTATTCAAACCTGCCACCCAAACTTGAATACTAAAATGATTCAGAATTACATTTTGAAACAGCTGAGGTATAGATTTCTAACTTAATCCAAAGAAGTGAATGTAACAAATTTGACTTTTATAAATGCATGTTGCTAGTCTTGTGTCCATTTTTCATTCCTAAAGCATTGAAACAAGAAGGGAAAGTAACCTGGAGTGGAAAAAAACAAAAACAAAAAGACAATCGCCATAAGCCATTCTCCAATGCTTTCTAAATCTGCTCACTGAGGCTACAATGAAAATACCAAACAACCTGCAAAGACACCTCACCCATTTACATGGAGACACAACCCATCAGTACAATCTAAGCTCTCAGGCTGCTGCTACTAATGGTTACTACAGGCACCTAGAAACCTCTTTTGACCAAAGTATACAGTAAAGATGTATAAAGATCCAGCATGCTAATACCTAAAGTTAAGGAGACTGAGGAACTGCATGCCAAAGAGAAATGAATGTGATCTGTGGTAGCACTCTTCCTATTCTGAGAAGTACAGGGGCTGCCAAGATGAGAGGCTACCAGGTTAACAGGCCACACTGACCCTGAGATTTTCCATTCTCTTGGTGAGATGGGGAAGGAAGACAGTAAAGAAACATTTGAAATGACATTATATTTGAAATGAAGAGGTACAAATGATGATTTTTCATATCTAGTACACCCCCCAAACCAAACCCAAATCACCTCAAACTGCAGAGGAGTGTTGCAGCGACTAGCAGTAGTAAGAGACGTGATTGGCGAGAACATGAGGCTGTATCCATTTCGACACTCCTCTTCTCCTGGGTGAGTCTGGCCAGGTGCGGTCAGTTGGGGGCTCTTTGAGCCTGAACTGGAAGGGGGTGGTGTRACCGGAGACAGAGGCCGAAGTAACTTGGTAACATTCTGCTCCATCAGATATCGAGACTTCCATTTCTTTAATGGGCTCAACAAGTCTGTGAAATACAAAGCTCGCATGAGAGATGAATTGTAGCTTAATGGGAAGCTCTGTAGTCAAGCTATTAATCTCTGACCTATAATGACTTGTACCTCTTTTGCCTCATCTCATTAAATTAACTCCTGCAATCAAACAAAAAACCCACAGAAACTCTGAATTACAACTGCACTGAAAATAAGTCTTAAAGCACTCTCTCAGAGAAATTCAAATTACTCTGACAGTTCTTTCCTTTTGAAGACACTTAGGTCTGTTATGTTGCCCATGCTGTGCTGCCCATCATCCTGCTGCCTTAGCCTTCTAAGGAGCTGGGATTACAGATGTGGGCCACCACACCCAGCTCTGAATCTGACAATTCATATGACTGATACACAGAACTAATTTACTGTATCAGAGCAAAAGAGAAATTCTTCCTATCACACCAAACTTCCAAAAATTTTAAATCTGTGTTACTTTGTTAAAATCACCCTCTACTTAACTGCCACATCACCAACTAAAACTATTGGCGTGCCAAATTGCATATGCCGTTTACCTTTTCTTATGTATTTGTGCCCCCTTTCAATGGTTCTATAATATTTTGAGCAGAAAAGGCATACATGGTTCCTTGATATGGATGTAATCTCTAGTTAAAAGTGTGTATTGATTTTTATAAATATTTCTCTCAACCATTAAAAAAAAAATCTAGATGTTACTCCTTTTCTCATTTGGCTAACCCCATTTTCTTCAGTCTACATAAAAAGCAAATTACTACACTACATATGTCAATGACCTTTCAGGACAAAGCAGCCTACTTACTGGAAAATACATACTCCTAATTCTATTCATTGATTGATTTAACAATGGCCATGAATTTACTTAACACCTACTATATGCAAATCACTGATGCATAATGACACAGGTAAGGGGGGGGAGAGAGATAGTCAACACATATTCTATTTTCAAGAGCTTAAAAATTTGTAAGAGAAGCCGGGTGTGGTGGTACATGCCTGTAATCCCAGCAGCTCCAGAGGCTGAGGCAAGAGGATTTTGAGTTCAAGGCCAGCCTCAGCAACTCAGTGAGACTAATAAAAATTATAAAACAGGGCTGGGGATGTGGCTCAGTAGTTGAGTATCCCCGAGTTCAATCTCCTTTACCAAAAACGGAGAAAAATAATTGCTTGAACCTAGGAGTTCAAGTCTAGCCTGGGAACGTGTTGTGTGTGATTTTTACATACTAGGCACTGTTCCATGTGTTTTATGTGAAATATCTGATTTAATATTAACAAATCTATAAATCCAGTAGTATTGTCACCCCATGTTAAACAGGAGGACATTGCTGCATGTACAGAGATACGAGGTAATCTAGCTCCTGTCTACATTTTATTATTTATTTATTTTTTTGTGGTGCTGGGGATTGAACCCAGGGCCTTGTGCATGCGAGGCAAGCACTCTACCAACTGATCTATATCCCCAGCCCTCCTGTCTACACTTTAACCACTATGTTGAATTACATCCGCAAAGCTTAGTGAAAGGAGTGAACCTATACCAGGACTTCAGGTAGAAGTTTTGGGTCAGCAGTTAATGATTAGAATAAAACTGGTAACTGGGAAACTATTTGGAGTTAAGAGGTATAAGGCACAGATTAGGGTAACCTATTTAAATGCAGAGAGAAGAATAAATGCAAAAATATGGRAGATGTTTATATTCTTTCTGGTATCTCAAAATTTTTTTTATTTTCCTACACTGGAAGTATATTCATGTTTTCCTTTTTTTTCTCCTAGATACTAAGTTTTCTCTCTTTTAAAAAAAGTGCCTAGGATGGGCTGGGGATGTGGCCCAAGTGGTAGCRCGCTCGCCTGGCATGTGTGCGGCCCGGGTTCGATCCTCAGCACCACATACCAACAAAGATGTTGTGTCCGCCGGGAACTAAAAAATAAATATTAAAAATTCTCTCTCTCTCTCCTCTCTCACTCTCTCTTAAAAAAAAAAAAAAAAGTGCCTAGGTATTAGAAAAGGAAAAAACAAACATGTAACACAAGGATTACATTCAGAATAAGTTTTTAAATATTTCAAGAGACTTATATAACAAACAAACAAACAAATAAATAACTAAATAATAAAAAGACCTCTGTTCTGTTAGGTCCAACACTGATAATTATTAAAGTCAAGTAAGTGAAGTGATAAAGTTCATTGTAGAAAAACTAGAAAATTTGGGTAAAAACTACTGCCTGCGAATCAGTCTACAGGAGACTCACTTAACATATTTACTGAGTACTTATGACATTCTAATGTAAAAAACAGACCTGACATTTCCCCTTATGAAGTTTATAGGCCACCAGTCTTTGATTACTTACTTTCCTTCCCTTTTAATTTCATTTTATTTTGTTGCATAATAGTTGTTACCCCCCACCCCTTTTGTGGTGCTGGGGATTGAACCTAGAATCTTGTGTGTGCAAGGCAAGCACTCTACCAACTGAGTTATATCCCTACCCCCCACCCCTTTTGTGGTGCTGGGGATTGAACCTAGAATCTTGTGTGTGCAAGGCAAGCACTCTACCAACTGAGTTATATCCCTAGCCCAGTTGTTAAACTTTACGTGGTCAAATCTATTTGTACTTTAATGTTTTCTAAAACTTCACTCAAGTACTTCTCAGGATTATTATATATATATATAGGGCTGAGATTGTAGCTCAGCGGTAGAGTATTTATTTGCCTGGCATGTGTGAAGCACTGGGTTAGATCCTAGGCATCACATAAAAATGAATAAAAAAATCTTTATTTTGTATTGAGTCCATCTRTAACTAAAATTTTAAATATATATATATATAAACATTATATATGTAACAATACACAAAAATTGAAATCATACTCACAAATTAATGCACTGCATTAAAACCTTCTTTCTTAACATGGTCTTAATGACTCCTGTCTTACACTGCTTAATAATTACTTCTACTCAGAAAAACATGGTAAAAACCTTGCTATGAAAAGAAGTAAGTCTGTAATTCAGTTTTTTAAGGGCTGCATGGCATTAATATTAACAAAATTTTATCAGCTTAAGTACCTTTCATTTTTTTGCTATTATAAATACACTTCAATGAACAAAAATTTTACTCCTACGTATTTTCTGCACTTGTTTCATTGTTTTTTCTTTCTTTTTATTATGACAAATGGCTACATGAAGGATTTTTAAACCAAAAGAATGTTCACATATGTTTACTAAAATTGTATTTATTCTCTTTTAAAATATATTTTTTAGTTGTTGGGAGACCTTTATTTTATTTGTTTATAATGTGGTACTGGAGAGTTGAATCTAGTGCCTCAAACATGCCAGGCAAGTGCTCTATCACTTAGTCACAACGCCAGCGCCTAAAATTGTATTTATTCTTGTGAAAACTGCTTGCTCATGTACCTAAGCCTGCATTTCATTGGTCTTTTTCTTGACTTGTTACAGGCTCCCAAAATAATGATACTGATCCTTTGAAAAAAAATGTTTCAAATGCAGTTTCTTGATTTGCTGCCTGCTTTTAAATTTTATTTAAATATTGTCTTTGCTATGTAATGTTTTATGTTTTCACTTAGTCAAATGCATGAATCATTCATTTCTTTGATTTTCTGCCTCTGATAATCAGGAACATGTGTCTGACACCCCACCCCAAGACTATAAAAATACCAGCGGGTTCTCTCTTTATCTCCAGGTTCAACTGTTTAACTTTCATTCAGGTTTATTTTCTAGTGTTCTCTCTTTTTAACTACTGTGGACAGAATACGCTTCTCTATTTTTATGATCTCTAGTACTTTTTTTTTTTTTTTAAGTTAATTCTCCTGGGATTTCTAGGCAGATGATCATATTACTTGTACATGACAACAACACATGCACCCTTTCTTTATCAGTACTTTTATTACCTGTTATTCTTTTTATTTTGAGTAGTCTCTTTGGCTAACAGTGCCAGGATATGTTAAATAATAACAGTGGGATAATTTGATAACCTACTTCAGGGCTTAAATGGTTTTTACAATGAAGTTTATAATTGGCAACTGTTTTTACATAGATTAAAACCAAGCATGCTATTTTATTATTAAATTTGTAATAGCCAATGTGTTATTACTGTTCCTTCCATATTTGACCAACAAATGAATTATATTAATAAATTCTCAAGTATTAAACTATGTTTACATTCCTGAGAGAAGTGGTCCCTAGGACATTTGGTCATCATATACTTTTCTTTTAATACAGACTTAAAGTGCTAATTAAGATCACAAATCTAATTTAAAACTGTTACTATACTGTTTTGCTCTTTTTTTTTTAAAAAAAAAGAGAGGGGGGGAATGTTTTTTAATATTTTATTTTTGTTTGTATGTGGTGCTGAGGATCRAACCCGGGCCACATGCATGCCAGCCGAGCGCGCTACTTCTTGAGCCATATCCCCAGCCCTACTGTTTTGCTCTTTAAGTTAGTTCTATTGCTACATCATTTAAGCTTTTAGAAATTTAAAGTCTTTTTTTAAAAAAATATACCTTTTCAAAGTTGTATATGGGCACAATGTCTTTACTTCATTTATTTTTATGTGGTGCTGAGGATCAAATCCAGTGCCTCACATGTGTTAGGCAAGCACTCTACACTGAGCTACAACTCTAGCCCTAGGAATTCAGAATCTTTAATGTAACTAGTATTCATGTTTGACAAGAAAGAATACTCTGTGTAGAGTAACAATTACGGATCTGATACTGTCTTGAGCATTTTATGTGCTATTCAATCTCATATTAGCCCCATAAAGCAAATATCATTATTCTCATTTTACAGATGAAGCTTAGAAACACTTAGCAACAACATATAGTTGGTAAAGGACAGTATTGATTCTCAAATAAAGGTCTATTTGATTCTTTTCACTATATTGATATGTCTCCCTTATTAACGTCTCTTTGGTATTTGTATTTTTAAAGTTTCTTTTAGTTGTAGACAGACACAGTACCTTTTTTTTTATTTATTATTTTTTTTAAAATTAAAGAGCCTGACCCAACACCTCAGTCTTTAGTAAGTTTAAGAAGGGAGGTGTGCAGAACACAGTCTGATAATTAAATCAAGACAACAGGCACGGAAGGAAGGCTTATGAGAACAGTGTGAATGTAAAATCTTTTTTTTTTTTTTTTTTTAAGAGAGAGAGAGAGAATTTTTAATATTTATTTTTTAGTTTTCGGCTGACACAACATCTTTGTATGTGGTGCTGAGGATGGAACCCAGGCCTCATGCATACCAGGCGAGCACACTACCATTTGAGCCACATCCCCAGCCCACAGTACCTTTATTTTATTTATATGTTTTTATGTGATGCTGAGGATCGTACCCAGTGCCTCACACATGTAAGGCGAATGCTCTACCAACTGAGCTACAACCCCAGCCTCTCTTTGGTATTCTTGAAAATAACAACAACAAAAAAACCTCTAACAAATATTTCCTCAGTATTTATACTAACTTTTAGCAATATAAGTCATTCAGGGGCGTCTAACCATTGAGCAACAACCCCAGTCCTTTTTTTGGATTTTATTTAGAGACAGTTGCTTATGGCTTTGTTCAATTGATGAGGTTGGCTTTGAACTTGCAATCCTCTTGCTTCAGCCTCCCAAGCCCCTGGGATTATAGGCATGCACCACCATGCTTGGCCTAGTGCTTAATTTATAAATTTTTTTCCTTATGTTTGTTAATTTTAAGTGAATCCTCCCACTGTTTGCTACAGACTAGAGCAAAAGCTCAAAAAAATGCATTGATAACTAATAGTCTTAATTCTCCACTAAACAGGGCATGTAGAAACATGTACTTTCTAGTTTTCAAGGCACTTTTCCTTTAAGTCTCTGCCAAGTCAGGACATGAAGTGCGGTATAATCTCCTTTTCTAATCTTACTTATACACCTACATAATGCACAGCAGACACACATACACACACACACATAGACCATTTCACCTAAATTACTCTAACTAAACTTCAAAAGCTGCCAGTAGCTGGGCATGGTGGCACATGCCTGTAATTCCAGAGGCTTGGGAGGGTGAGGCAGGAGGATTGTGAGTTCAAAGCCAGCCTCCCCAAAAGTGAGGTGCTAAGTAACTCAGTGAGATCCTCTCTCTAAATAAAACTAGAGATGGGGATGTGGCTCAATGACCGAGTGCCCCCGAGTTCAATCCTTGGTACCCACCCCCTGAAAAAAACCTGCCAGTAAATTGATAATACTGATGGAAATCTGCCAATGATTTCTTTATATTATTTATGTTATACATGGATTAATTCATAACTCACAAGGTATAATCCAATCTATGGAGAGAAGAATAAACTAAGTCAATAATTTAAAAAGTGGTGGCCCAGTTTTTCAACCCTAAATTTAAAAATCCAAATAAAAGCATATATATATATATATATATATATATATATATTTTTTGGTGGTTGTGGGGTGATGGGGTACTCAGAATTGAATTCATGAATGTTTTACCATTGAGGTACATCCCCAGTCCTTTTGAAAATTTATTTTATGACAGTGTCTTGCTAAGTTGCTGTGGCTGGTCTCAAATTTTTGATCCTTCTGCCTCAGCCTCCTGAGCTGCTGGGATTACAGGAGCATACCACTGTGCCCAGCTAAAAGCAGACTTTTAATATAAAGCAAATGTTACTAGTAAAAGTTTATTTAACTGAATTCAAATTTATAATTATCTAACAAGTTTATGAATATAAAAAAGATTTTTATGAAAATCTGGAATATTATCTTGTGAGCTATAGCTTTATATAAGCTTGAAAATCTAATTTATTTTGATATTTTGACTGAGTAACATTCAGAAAACGGATGTAGAGATAAACTTATGGAAATCACAAAGAAATTTCCCCTTTTGTGTTGGTGCCAGGTAATGGCAAAGGTTAAAAGCACACACTCTTATCACTGAAATATACCCCGGACCTGCAATATTTTTTCAGTTGACATGAACAGGAGAAACTTCGTTAAAAAGACTGTACTGAATAAGTTAACATGTCACCACAAGTTAATATACCAGTGCTTTCAAAGAGAACCCCTTCAAGAGTCCCTGTGAAAGCCAGTGGTGGAATTTTCATAGCCATATTGTTCAAAAACTCATAAGGAGCTTAAGTTGAATTTAAAGCCATGTCTTCTTAAATATTTTATACTAATTATACAAGTTCACTTGAAAACAACCAATTAATAACAATTCCTTATATTTACTTCATTAATCCTCTGCCCCTCAACCATGCCCCCAACTCAAACACTTACAATTTTTCCCTGAATATTAGTATTTCACTTTCTTGCCTTCCCCCCCTTATAAATATAAATATATATTCCTAAACTTACTACTTTAAATGTATCTAACCTTTTTTATAACCATTTCTGCTGTTATCTGTATACTGTCTAGTTCCTTCTTTGTCGTCCTTGGAAAACTGATCCCTGACTTGAGATCTCTCTCTTCCTCTGTAAAGACAGATGTAAAGTAACTATTTAGAGAACATGCTATTTCTTTTTTTATATCAGAGTACGAATTCTGAAATTTTTAATGTGGACCTCAAATAATGATTGATCATGTATTTAGAAAGGTTTTAGATACATACCTGCATTGTCTTTGCAGATACTAGAATTACTATTCTCATTACTTTGGTATAGTTGCTGCGTTCTAGTCTCTTGGGGTACAGGTGTTTGAGTCATCCCTTCTTCCAAGGCTTGCTTTATCCAGCGCTATAAGGGGGGAAAATCAGAGAATTATCAATAACACCTTAAAACTTTTCAGTACTTATTTTAAACACACTAAACTAGGTCATTTTACATCAAGTGCTGGGAGAGGCAATCCAACACATTCATTCAATAACATGTCAAATCTCAATCTCCAAAATAAGTTTTGTATTTCACTGTATTAGAATACTACCCRATCAATTCCTCTACCAGAAGAAATTAAGGGAAAAAAAAAATTACAAGTAAAAACTCCAACTATCATACTGCTTAAGACAGAGTAAATGGGAAGAAATAAGGAAGAAATCTTAACATTTATTTAAGAGACTGGTCAGGTCATACGGAACAAAACTAACACAGAAATATGTGCCTAGAAAGAAGATAAAGTTTTATCTCTTATGAGTTGTCTGCTCTATGCTGGGACATCTGAAGAGATAAAAGATTCACAGGAAGACTTTAGATGAGAATAAATAGCTCTTTACTACACACCAAAAGACTTACTCAGAAGTAGAATAACCTGAGCTTCCCCCAATCAATTAGTTTGGTTAAATTATGCAGGAATAATGCAAATCACCAGAAAAATCAAAAGTCAAAAAGAAGACCTCTCTAAATAAGTTACTTTCTTTGGTAGTGAATATTGGAATCTAAATTGATGAGAAATAAATTTAGGTTAGACTGTAAGCCTACAAAAATTAGGATAGTAAGAATTTATAYCCTGTGGAAGATAGAACATATATTACCTATAATGTATCTCTTAAGATACATAGTTGTAGGTTCTTCACTGTTCTGTGGTTCCCCTCCCGACAGAAGACAGACTGAGTTTTGACAAACATAATTTTCTAAGTTAGACTCTCCCTCAAATGGGAAGAGCAAAGGTGAATAAATTTCACACCTTTAAAGAACATGTATTACAGATAAGCAAATATTCTCTCCACCAAAGAGAACAATTCTGATAGATTTTTCCCTTTAGAAACTTATGATGTAAATGTCACTGTGGTCTGCCAAATGTAAACAAAAATAAAATTGTGAACATGAGGAGATGGGAGTGAATCAATATATAGAGGAGACAGGAGTGAATGAATATATAAGAGACTCAAGGGTCATCTGAATTTCATTAATATTCTAGGATATGACCAGATCACTGAAAAGACAAGACCAAAAACTCCCTTACATACAGAATACCTTTAGAGCTGAAAAGAGATCTTAGAGTCATCCTGTCTAAAGCATTCATTTAACAGAGGAGAAAATTTGACTTGGGAAGACGTGAGTGAAAAATCCTTTGTCCTTGATACCCTTTGTACAAGTTTTTTTTTTTTTTCCCTCAGAGAAGATGACAGCACTCATTTGGTGGTTCCTGAGCTTTCCTCTAGAAGTTAATTTTTTATAGTGTCAAGTAGATGTACCCACAAAAAATTTTTACATTCTGGATCTGATGACCACAAAAATGGAACATAAAAGAAAAACAGGGGTATTCTAGGAATAAGATGCTACCACAGTTGATAAGGTTAAACATAGCAAATATGATCAAACCTATTCTCTTCCTTGGCCTGTTGAAGATTCTTTTTTTTTTTTTTWAATTTTTGTTTGTAGTTGTAGATGGACAGAATGTCTTTCTTTTATTTGTTTATTTTTATGTGATGCTGAGGATCAAACCCAGTGCCTCACCCATGCTAGGCAAGTGCTCAGCTGCTGAGGTATAGCCCCAGTCCCTGCCCCTATTGAAGATTCTTATAGTATTTCAGGACAAGTATAAAAAAAAGAAACATGAACACTTCTTTGTATCTAACAAGCTCCAATCACCCTTATTAATTTCAGAACACCCCCCCCCCCACCAACTTCTATTTGGTTACTAAAGAACATTTCTCCTTTCTCTGAAACTATATTAAGGAGAAAAATTTGAGGATCAAATCCAGTGCCTCACCCATGCTAGGTAAGTGCTCTACCACTGAGCTACAACTCCAGCCTGAAAAAATGTTTTTTTTTTTTTTTTTTTTTTTTGGAAAAGTCAAAGATAGGTGAGAAAGGGTAGCATTATTATGGGGAAAGAAGAAGGAAGTAACAGGCTTTGGAATCCCAATACCTGAGTTGAAACACGGCTGTACCAATAAACAAGATGCCTTAATTTTGGGCAAGTTTTTTTGAGCCAAAAGTTCTGAATCTAAACTGTGCCCAATAATACCAAACCCACAGGGTTGTCATGAAGGTTAAGTGAGATAACATACACAAATTTTCAGTATTTTTTCAATGAAATTTCAACACATACTTAATGACACACACATTAATAATCCTTCAAAATATACAATAAAATACCAATGTACAAGTAAAGCATTTCATTAGTCTGGTAGGTTTTTAAGAAATGGAGGAGACTAAATGATTTTATAGAAAATGATAAAATGTATAAAATGACTAAAGATTTGTTGGTCATTTATTTGTTAATTTGATTTAGACACTCCAGGGATATCAATAAATGTTCTGACAAATATTCTAATAATCTGGGTACAAATATATAGATCAGACTTTTATTTGTCTCATACTATTTTTAACTTATGAGGTCTACATTCTTTAACCAGATATTAAACAGTGAGCCTATTAGGAATATGCGTTGTTATAACTAATCCCATGGAAGGTAGTTTTTTTTTCATTTATTCATTTAACTTATATTCTGAGGGATTTTCAAAATTTATTATGATTTGGTTTAATCATGGAAATGTTCTTAGGTCTTGAACTAGATGTGTTTCTAACCAATCTAAAAATAACTCTTCTCCATCCCTACCTAGGATAAAGATGACTTCATTTTCTAGCTAAAAGATTCAATTTCATTTATTTTGCCCACAAAAAAGCTGCATGTTTTTTTAACATAGATTTGTTTATAATAAATTCTAAAGCAGTGATTTAATCTTAACTAATTTAGATATAAACAAATAATTTTAAGATCCCATTGCTATGATAATTCAATGTACAATCTAATGTCTCCCTAAAGACTGATCACGACACATACAAAGTGCTTAAGTATAGCCTGTATAAAATGAGACTAAGGATGAAGGCTGAGACTGTAGCTGAGTGGTACAGCACTTGCCTAGCATGCACAAGGCTCTGTTTTCAATCCCTAACACCACAAAAACCAAACAACCAACTGGCTGGCCAGCCAACCCACATACCCATCCACCCTCCAAAATCAAAGAGGCTCAAGAACGAGGATAGTCAGATGCATTTAGAGAATATAATATGAATTTGAGTTAAATGGGATTTTTTTTTTCTCTTCTGTCAATGGAGATAGAAAGATGAGCTTTCAGATTTAAGTCTTAAATCACAACCAGGTCAAAAGGGCTCAAAGAAATGGATTTTCTACTGAATGTGAAGTCACAATTTTAAACACACATTTTCAGTCTTTAAAGGCTTCTGCTACTTGGAAAAGTAAGAGTTTAATTTGTCTTTGAGCACAAAAAGACTGTATCCTAGCATCATAATTATCAAGAAGGCATTTCAAGAAGCTAGTTCATATTATTTACAACAAAGTCTTTATGCCAACCCCTCTTAAAGACCAAAGCAAGAGCGTTTACCAACTAGCTTGAAAGAATCTTTTAGCAGCCAACATCCTTAGAAATCTAGTACCATGTCCAGCCAAACACAGAACAAGTTATTTTAAATATATTAAGCCATCTCTCAACTTGCTCCTCATTTAAAGACGATATCTACCCCATTTCTAATTTTAAACACTCCTTACAAATGCATTTATGATTTTGAGCTGTTAATCTTATTAAGCAATGCTAAATACAGAAGAAGGATCAGTTTTCAGTTCTGTATCCCACACTAAAGCTAGCAGCATTCTAATTCTTACAGAAGTATAATCATAATGCTTTTTACATGGCAAACCATTTTTCTTCTCCTCAGATAATCACTAAGACCCAAGATAAAGAATTCTTCCTAAGTGACATACTTGGTATAAGAAAGTTTCCCTGGAGACCCAGTTCTCCTTCATTACTGAGGCAAATTTCCTGTACAAAAGCTTTTCAGAGATTTTCTACTTATTTTTAAAAGAAAGTCATCACTGCTTTTATTTTTGACACCTGAAAGTCACTCCTGTTACTTTATTATTTATAAACCCTCTTGGCAAGGATCTTATGACCAAATTTCTCTTTATGATTTCTTCTATTTGGGATTTTCCCCAAACAAACCAAGACGTACTCAAATACTTAGGTAAGACGCACAATTAAGAAAAGACAGTGCAGCACATGCTGCTCATCCAGCAGTAGTGCCCTTCCTTTATGTACATATTCCTGTTGCCCTCCTCCCCTCCGTATCCCACAGTACTTTGGCTCATCTTTCACTCCCCCCACCCCCCAAGAAATAATTTCTGTTCTTTGGAGAAAGAGAAAAGCTTTAAGTTTGGAGAAGTCAGGGAAGACCTGCCTGGAGTTGGAGACTTCATCACACCAAATAATCTACATGCAGCATCCTCATGTACGTGATGCCAGTGGAGGAGGGCAATGGCAGACACTGAGGAAGGCAGCCTGAATCCAGATCTGAGGATAAGAGAAAAGGGTGTTCCAGGGAACAGAACTCTACCTCAAAGAAAGACCAAATGAAAAGGTGTCCTATACTTCTAGAAACACTGACACGACATAATAAGTCTGAGGGAGTGATCTAATCCTGAGAGACACCTTTGAAAAATATGTAGGGCTTCTGGGAATTAAGAAAGCACATTCCCCAAACAACCAACCACAAACACTGCTGCCACTAGATCCAAAAACACTAGGTAACTAGAAAGAGAGAGAGGTAGAGAGAGGCAGAAAGAATCTTTTACAATAGTTTCCATATTCTCTAGGGAATAGACAGTCCAACCTGTTGTCATTTGATCAAGAAACAGGAATTATGCCAAACACAACAGGACTTTTCCCTCTAACCTCCTCCAAGTGATAATAGTGATTGAATTAATTCTAAACACAATTTTATCAAATTTTACTCATTCAATAGTGCTCTAAAGTATCTGGGGGCCAATCACACAGTAATCACAAATGGATGTTAACAAGTAACACAAGAGCACAGACGTAACATACCCCTCCCTACCCAATCATCAACTGCTGTGTGCTCTCACAAGAACCTCAAAGGCTCCCAAAAGAGACAACAGTGAATATTCACAAAATTGAGAACCAAAAATACAGTATACATTTCACGTTAGTCCCACTGGCTCCTGATTTATCAGTATTCATGTTGAACAATTAACTCATTATCAGCGCACATGGATACAGTGGCTTTCTAGAGTATGTGTTAAATATATTATAATTTTAGGCACCCTGCCTTAAAACAAAACAAAACAAAACAAACAAAAAAACAATTACATAAACACAGACATACCTTCTTACAGGAGCTGAATGTGCCATCAGGCAGAAGGGGCCTCCGACGCCTCTCAGGCATAAAGGGTGAGCCAAAACGAATGTAGTGTTTGGGGGTGGTGCAAATTAATGGGGAATGAATAAGACCCGGTAACATGTTCAGCGTTGTTGCTAGTACAGTTGGGTCTGTGGTGATACGTAAAGGGCATTCAACAGGGCACTCTTGCTTCTCGGCTTTGTCATTCAGCCATTCTGTAACTAGATACTATGGTTAAAAAAAGGAGAGAGATCATTAGTTAATGCTGCAGATGAAAAGCCAGAGGCAGTAGTAGTGCAGTTCACAAAGACAAACCTCATCTAGAAACTAGGACAGATGCCACAGCTGCAGTGAGAATGAATTGGGCATTCAGAACACAAGGCTATCTTCCTTTACCCTCTCTGTGTCCACTAAGAGAGGAACAGTTTCAGTTACCAATGATTTAAGTTCTGTCTAAAAATAAGGGAACAAAAAGTAGTAGAATGGCTTGAGGCTTCCTCATTAAAGGATTTTATCTAGAACTTGTGATCTAGCAAACACTGAGATTAATTTTTTTCTGGGGATTACAGGTACTTGTGTTTTATTAACACACCTCCCGCCATACTAGACTCATGAAGATGTATTCATGACTTACTTTTTTGGTTTTGGGGTACTTAGATGTAGCACGGTTAACATGAGATCCAGTAACTGATATCACAGTTGGGTCAGATCCTGTTAACTGCCTGTTTTCTCCTGAACTGTCTATACTTCCAGTTTCAGTAGGAGTTACTGAGTTGTTACTTCCTCCCTCTTCCAAGGCAGCTTGTGACAACTCCGCCTGTTGTGCACTGGCCTGCTTCTGACGTTTTAGTCTTTGGGCTGAACTGGTCCGGTACCGAGAAATTCGACTCTTCGGTCGGGGTCTGGAAGGCTTTGCTGGAGGTGGTTTGGGGACTGGTTTTTCTGCAGCAACATCCTGTAACAACATCAGGGTCAAATGCTGACCAAAAATTCTTATCAGTAAACATTCTATCCAATTTCTTCTTTAAGCATTCTGAATGCCTACTGGTGAAAAAATAAGGATTTGGAAACAGTCATTTAAAATGTATTCTTTAGGAGCTGGGGATGTGGCTCAAGCGGTAGCGCGCTCGCCTGGCATGCGTGCGGCCTGGGTTCGATCCTCAGCACCACATACCAACAAAGATGTTGTGTCCGCCGAGAACTAAAAAAAATAAATATTAAAAAAAAAAAAATTCTCTCTCTCTTTAAAAAAAAAATGTATTCTTTAAAAAAATATATTTTTTAGTTTTAGTTGGACACAATAACTTTATTTTATTTATTTATATGTGGTGCTGAGGATCAAACCCAGGGCCTCACATGTGCTAGGTGAGTGCTCTACTGCTGAACCACAACCCCAGCCCTAAAAATGTGTTCTTTAAACCCCCAAATTTATACATTTAAATTAACTAAAGAGGTTGTGAACAGATATCTGGGTTAGTTATTTCTATTTCTGATAAGCATCTATAAAATAGGTCATAAGTCAACTGAAGGGAAACACCTAATTTTAGGGTTCTTAGCAGAAAGAGAATTCCTCCTTGTACTTCTTTCCTAGACAATGAGGTCTCAGCTTAAGGTTTAGATTCATGGCTGGGGGAAGGAAGGAAAAAAAGGGTTTATCTTGAGAATCCTATGAAAGGTACATGAGAGAACTCAAAATAATTTTATTTTTTGGTGGTGGGGATTAAAACTGGGGCCTCATACATGCTAAGCACTCATTCTAACACTAAGTTCCACCTCTGGCTTATAAACCAAATGATTTTTATAAATTCACCACCAACAGTTTATCTAGCAAAAAAAGTACTAAGTTCCACTGAAGCATGAAGGTATTTAGTCATTCAAATTCTGAATTTACCTGTTTCCCTGAACCCCATAAATCAACTGATGAAAATGTTAAGTGCCGTTATTTACTATGATACAGGACAAACCCCAAAACACGGATTTTAACCATCCAAAAGATAGGTTAAAAGGTAATTGGCAGGGGCTGGGATTGTGGCTCAGCGGCAGAGTGCTCGCCTAGCATGGGCGGGCCCCGGGTTCGATCCTCCACCACATAAAAATAAAAAAGCATTGTGTTGTGTCCATCTACACCTAAAAAATAAATATTTAAAAAAAAAGTGGGCTGGGGATGTAACTCAAGCGGTAATGTGCTCGCCTGGCATGTGCTGGGCGCAGGGTTCCATCCTCAGCACCACATAAAATAAAATAAAGATGTTGTGTCCATTGAAAACTGAAAAAAAAAAAAAAAAAAAAAAAAAGGTAATGGGCATTAGCAAGAGCAAAGGTGCCTAAGCACTGGTCTTTTCATCTCTTACCCCTGCTTGGGAAGACCTCCGGGTGTTCACTCCAATACTCTGTGGGATGCTTGGGATGGAAACATTTGAAGTAAGGTTGCTAACTTCAGATTCAGAAGCTTCTGTTTTTGTCTCTTCTCCAACAGGAGTCTCTGAGGTGGTGGCAGTAATCTCTATGTCAGGGCTGCTCTGTTCCAAGGGCTGATCTCGCCGTTTCTTTCTCTTTTCTAAGTTTTCGAAAGCATGCATAATGGCTTCAACCTTCCTATCCTCTCGGGTCTAAAAAGAAATAGCATTGGTATAGAAGGAAGCCCCAGTAGGAATAGGAGAATGTCAATTCAGAAGTGTTATTAATGTAAATTTATAGAAACTTACTTAACTACCAATAAGATAGCACATATCTTTGAGAACATAGTAACTAAAAACTAACTTTTTATTTTAAATGCTGGTAACAGGTATAAAAGAAAGCAAACCAAAGTATACTTTCTTTTAAAAGGCCAAGTGGGCTTTTTGGAAAAAAAAAAATTATATTTCTTTTTTAGTTGTAGTTCGAAACATACCTTTGTTTTATTTATTTAATTTTATGTGGTGCTGAGGATCGAACCCAGGGCTTTGCATGTGGTAGGTGAGCGCTCTACCACTGAGCCACAACCTCAGCTTGAAAAATTTTTAACATGTAAGAAAATAGTCATCAAAACCAAATTTTCTGCAGTAGAGTGCTTGCCTACTGCGTGTGAGGTCCTAGGTTCGATCCTCAGCACCACATAAAAATAAATAAAAACAAAGGTATTGTGTCTATCTACATCTTAAAAAAAAACCCAGAACCCAAAAAAACTCCATAAAAAAACAAGAAAATTCCTAAGTCAGAAGAAAACAGTGTCAACACATCTTGTTTTTAACCACTGAGTTTTCGGCTAAAAAGATTATTATGAAGAAACCTCTTAAGGCAAGGATTAGATGGTCAACAGACAACTACTCCATGCATGCGTGTGTTCACCTATGTGTAGAGAAAGAAAATAGAAGCAAAGGGATGTTAGACAGCACTCACCCTCCTGCTCTGAGCTGTGTTCTCCTGGTCATCTATAACCTCTTCTTTCTCTTCTTCTGGTTTTTCTTCTGGATTGTCTACTTCCTTTAAATAGAAGCAATATTAAATTATATTCTTAAACTGGGGTGGGGGAAATCAATCAATTTTATTCTGGTAGCTTAAAATTGCCCAGAAATAATTTCTAGAGCTTTCATTTGTTACTCATGTGAGGCCACATGGCAAACAGATGATAATCCTCATTCTCCAAATGGAACCTGGACAGTAGCTAAAAGGTTTTTTTTCTTTTTTTTTTTTTGGTGTTGGGGATCAAACCCAGGGCCTTGTAATTACTAGGTAAGGGCTCTTAACACTGAGCTATTGAAAGGATATTCACAAGAAAATGAATGAATGCAGATGTATGCTGATATAAATAGCTATTAAGTGTATACTACTGCTTCCTTAAAAATGAAGGAAACCTGGGATCAACTTCTTGGAAAGGAATGATACCACATAATTTGACCAGAGGAGATTACCTCATGATCACTGGATAAAGTTACTTTTTCTGGAACTTCTTGTGGTTGCTGGTCATTATTCTCCTCTGAAGCCTCATTCTGCTGCTCCATCTCCAGCTCTTTCCGTCGTGCTTTTCTACGTCTGGTCTCTGCCCCGATGGTAGGGAGGGTTGGAGGAGGTGGGAGTGGCAGTTCTGCAGCATTTGGATTCCTTTTCTGTATAGGGCAATTCCGGTTCCCCTTGTGACAGGCACAGTCCACTTTATAATTACTGCTCCAAAGAAACAAAAAATGTACTTGTCTCAGTATCCTTGAAAATCAGGTTTATCACCACTCATTCTTTTGAAACACCAGCAGGATAATTTCCTCTGGAATTATCTTTAAATAAGATCAAAAAATTAGAGTGTCTCTAAGAATACTTCAATATTCTGTTTCTCTATATATTTCCCACTCTGTGCCTATGTATGGCCTATAGAAAGAAAAGAAAGTACCCGCTAAATTTAATTCTCAATTGCTTTTATGCTATTCGATAGTCAATCAGTAAGAGTCTGAAATGGCCAAACTTCTGTTATGCTCATCATTACTATGCCTTCACTTTTACTTGAATGACTACTTATTATTAATCTTGCTTTTTCTTATTCCTGGGCAATATGAGTTTACCATATAATTTGGATTTTGTCCAAAACAACCAAAAGAGAAAAAGCATCTACTTTATAAAACCTATTACATATTCACCTATGACTTGCTATCTGTTTTTTTAAAAATATATTATCATATACAGCTAGATTACATAGTTTGAGTAAATGAGGTGAATCTTTGTCTTATTTTGTGTGGCTCCTGACACAAGTGCTCTGCTCACACTAACACATGCCATATAGCTTCCAGGAGTGTCTCATACACCTTTTTCTCTATTCTTGCTAAAGAGCCATAAGTTACCACCTTTGTTAGGTGACTTGTAAATGGTTAGAAAGAAAGTATCAAAATCTCTAAAAAGAATCTTCAGTTGGTCTTCTCCTTCACAGGTAGAAAATATATCATTTGTGAAAAGATCAAACCAAAAAATGGCAAGGAATGAAAGCAGACTTCATAAATAGAGTCAAACTGCTTAATATCTAACACAAGGTGATCCATGTTAGGAAAAATTTTTTGGGTCTTACCAGTTACTATACTCATAATCAAATGCAATGGTGACTTCAGCATCCTTGGTGATGGCAGAAACAGCATAAATACATAGATGAATCATCCCATCTGCAATCATGTGTCGCACCTGTATGAACATAGCTCAAGGTTGGATTTATCATAGACTATTATTTTCTCATAAGAGGAAAAATGCTTTTACCAAATAATTTTACTTAGAGTTATAATAGTCTGTGTAAACTTCATTATTTCATATGTAATTATTATACAGTAAGGTCCTGATATTTCTTGAAATAATCAGAGAAACCTTTAGAAATTGGGGGGGGGGGGGTGTTCTTATTTTAAAGTTGTTTCTGGTTCCACCAGACAATTAAAATTCCTCATCCTATAAATTAAGCTCTGTGGATATTCTTGATGTATTTGATCTGGTTGCACTGAGTAATGAATTCAAGAAATATCCAGAATCTTACAACACTGTTTTCTCAAATCTATAAAAGTGAAAACAAAGGGCTGGGGATGTGGCTCAAGCGGTAGCGCGCTCGCCTGGCATGCATGCCGCCCGGGTTGGATCCTCAGCACCACATATCAACAAAGATGTTGTGTCCGCCGAGAACTAAAAAAATAAATATTAAAAATTCTCTCTCTCTTAAAAAAAAAAAAAAAAAGAAAGAAACCAAATAGCTTAGCTGATCCTAATGATATCTTCCCCCACGTGACCACTTCAACATAATCGAACTAATTTCTTATCTATCCAGTCTACCTTTTTCTTCTTAGGAAACCCTAACTTACTTTTTCTCATTCTCCTGCTTTAAGAAAATCCATTCCTTGCCCCAATCCCACCAATGTAAAAGCAGTATTACTTTTGATTTTCATCTTTTAAAATTAAATATTACAACTATTAGCTACAGACCTTTATCTGGGTGGTTTTCAGAATGCTTCTTCAGTAAACTTGTCCTTTGGTGGTTCCATTCAAATGGAAGTTGTTAAAGATATCTTACCTCTGCATTTGGTGTACATGATCTTCTGATGAAGCGAGCATCATTACCGAAAGTACGGGCATCCACACACATCTCTACACCATTGAATTTTGAGTAGAAGAGCACAAAGGGATATGGTCTAGGGATATAATTAAAATTCCTGTAATTCTCAACACAAAATAAAAAGGCCACCCCATGACTCTAAATATGAAGCATATGCTGACAGAAGCAGCAGCAGTCCTTTGCAATGCCTAAACTTGGAAAACATCACATGCTTGTCTGCTTTTGATTAAAGTACAAGCACAAAGCAAGGAATGCTGGACTTGGAAAGGAGTCATCACCACTTTATACATTAAACAATTTGCAGATTTATTTGCACTTCACTACACATAGCAAACAGGCATGAACTTATTTGAATTGTTATCTTTTTCCCAAAAGCAACCTATCAACCAGGAAGAGTTTTATATCAATACTGGTCAGCCAGAACCATGTTAGCCCTCAATGCTCAACAAACCATGTTCTTACTTTTTGAAGAAATGCCCATTGACCTCAAATTGTTGCCGTAACATGACTTTCCCGCGGTACTCTATTATAAGAGTATCCAAAGCCAAATCTCTTGCAGCCCTCAGGATTTTTCGGTGCTTTTGAACCCGAGTGACTCTTCCCAGCTGTAACTAAATAAAACCAGAGTATTAACATTAAACAAAATAGCAACAGCAGCTTAGTAGACAAATTTTTGAATTTGATATAAGCTCAAATTTTCTAGGAAAAATGCCCCAACTAATGAACCTGCTACCCAGAAAAGGGAAGAAAAGATCAAAGAAATACCCACGATTAAGATTTTAGTGATTCTTTCTCTAAAATAAGAATGAGGGTTAGCTTTCTATAAATCTCACACAATTCCTAGGGCTGTGTAAAATTTCCTATGTTGATTTATTTTTGATTAATAAAGATAATTTAAAAATATGTATCCAGATAGTTTCCAGTAAATATAACCTGTTTTTTTTTTGTTAAAAGATACAGTTGGCTAATTTGTTATTCTATAACTTTTTACATTTAGAAGAAAGAATATTTGCAATCCATGCCTTTTCCTGAGATTTCTAAAAAAATCTCTACTTCTTTAATTAACCCTTTGTTCCTTACCTGCATTTGGGAACCAATAACTGTATTATTACAGGCCAATTCGGTCTTATTAATAGTGTCTAAAATAGCAGGTTTGCCCACAAATTCCTTGCTAGAATGTAGATGTTGTTCAAGGGCGTTCTGTACATCGGCACTGTACTGATTAGTGAAAGCTTCTTCATACTGATCAGTCCATAGTCTTATCCGATTTTCCCAGCCCTCAGTTGTATTCTCATCTAAATTCTGTGCTTCAGAGGGAGAATTCTGCAGAGAACAAAGGTCAGGTAGGTTAGTATAGTCCATGCATAAAAATGTACCAAGGTGGGTGGGGGTGGACAGGCTGAGTTTCAAAAAAAAAAAAAAAAAAAATTCTCTTGGCAGGTGGTGTGGCATAAAATAAAAATGGACTGGGAGTCAGAGGATCTGGCTTTTATCAAAGTCTTATTCACAATGAGTTGTGAGGTTTCCCCACTTAAAAAAATTAGTCTAAATCACAGTTGCAGGCCATCACTTATTTTATGACCATTTTTAAGTCTCAAAAATTGCATTTATCTTATGAAGAGAATTACATCAAGTTCATAAGAAAATCTTTATAAAAAGGAACAGTACAGACACTGCAAACTATCAAAATGCTTAAATTTTGAATCTTATTGAACATTTATCTGTGCTAGTGTGATAGCCCAAACTGGTTTGTTTTATTATCTCCAGAAGAATGATTTTGTCTGTATGTCATTTAATGTTTTCATTATACAATTAAGAACTGTTCATACTAAATATACTTGTGATCCCAATCAATCAATCACCATGCTACCACCCACAGAAAAAGTTATTTTGTAACATATCTTTCTAATACTCTAAACAATTTATATAGTCACATTCTAAATAGTCTGAAAAGGAGAAGTGAGGAGGGAAGTAGGCAGGGGGACTATAAAAAAAAAATGTCTTGAGAGGAAGGTACTTTCCCATAGTCCTCTAGGAAAATCATTGCTTTCTATGGTGACAGTACTAAGAAAAGATTATTACTTTTTAGCAACAGATCTTGAACTGTGTATATAAACCTGAACTATAGAGACACAGCTTAAGTATGAAACATGTTCTTGTCCATGGTGTTTAAGATTTGAGGTGCTGACAGAAAACAAACACACTGATAGTGATGATGCCATGCTAGTGGTGATTAGAAGGAAAAGATACTGTAGTGACTGAAGCTACATGAAAACCTATGTCCACACTAAACTTCCCAAAACAGGCATAACAAAATTAAATATACTTTCCATGCATGGTACAGAACACACTGATGTCTACTATAACAATTGCTTCCCTTGGCCACTTTTGTTACACTGCTGTTGATGGACTTTMCACAAGAAACAGGAAAATGTAAAAATAAATCAACAAAAACACCATGGTTTTCTATATTTTCACTAGGGTCCAAAAGACCAAACAATAAACAACTAAAAAAGAAACACATAAAGCCAACAGACTGTGAACAGAAGTATCACCTAACTTGACATTATTAGTAGGAGCTGAGCAAGAATGGTGGGAAACTTGACTTAAGGCTGCATAAAATTGGGGATTAAGGATGCCCAGAAAGTATTTCCAGATTAAGCATTCAGTATCAATCACTAAACTTACAACTTGGTAACTTACTGTATTTTGAAAGCCTCTGCTACAGTATTAGCTGTTGTTCATTAAGCCGACTCTCTCAGTAGTTCTTAACTGGGGCAATTTGCTCTCTGGAGACATTCAGCAACACTAAACACATTTTTGGTTATTACGATTCTTTGTGTGCATGTCTGTTTGTTTTACTGCACCTACTAGGTAGATGCTGGGGTGCTGCTAAATGTCATACAATGTGAAAAATAGTCCCTTCTACAACACAGAATTACTTAATCTGAAAAGTCAACAGCATCAATCAGACACTAATTTAATGGCAAGTCTCCACTATGAAAGCTCTTGACTTTCAGTTTAAAAACCCAAATGATAAAAATTTCCCCCTCCTACAGCATCTTTCTACCTGAATCTTTGATGAAGTCAATTAATTCTGAGCACAAAATTTGCAACTCAGAATTATAAGATAACAATCAAAACACTGGAACTGTTTTTCTGTTTAAATTTTAACTTGTCTTTGGAGCTGTCAACCTCCTGAAACTGATTTTTTGTAAACAAAATTTGGGACTTATATCTACTTTTCTGAGTGAGCAAGGCAACAGTTTTCTAAAGGTTTTAAGTCTCTGAAAGTGAATTACAGTACCTGGCTGACAAGAGAAAAGAGCTCTGCAGCAGGGACTAGGGATATGTTTGCCCCAAGTATCTATTTAAGATCCCCTCTTAGTAAATGAAATATGAGTTAAAACAAATTTGGCTCCTTATAGGAGGTAAGTCTAAGCAAGCAAATAATGATTTTAAGTTGTATCTCAAACCACATTTCAGGTCTCTGACAGTCTGTGGCTAAGTCCTCTCCCATCTCTACAAGCTGAGGCCTTAGAACTTTAGATAAATGTCACCTGTAACTTTTTWAAAAATATTTTTTATTGTAGATGGACACAATACCTTTATTTTATTTTAAAAAAATATTTATTTTTTAGTATTAGGTGGACACTATATCTTTATTATACGTTTATGTGGTGCTGAGGTTCGAAGCCAGGGCCTCACACACGCCAGACAAGTGCACTACCACTGAGCCACAACCTCAGCCCTATCTGTAACTTTTGATATAACATCAATCATATTGTTTAATTTACACATGAATTAAAGTAATTCTAATGAAGCTTATCTTAGGACTTTAATATTTATGCTATATAACTGCCAATCGGAAAAATCCTGCTTTTATATAATATATACAGCTAGGGATATGAATACTAATAGAATTAAACTAGAACATGATTCTAATAAATTCTTTGAAGCCATATCGGATAGATAAAAGAAGATACTAGACAGTATCTAGATAGCAAACTTTTTGTCAACCAGTACCTAAAAGTCCTCTGAAACACTGTACATAATTTCTGTCCTCCAACCTTTTTATAAAATCACTATATAAATTCTTTTACTTGATAAATAAAGAAAAGCAACACTAGCATCACATGAGTCCTTTCCAAACAGATAAGCCAAGAAGAAGTAGTTCAACAGTAAGTCATTCCAACAGGATCAACTATCAACAATATAACTTTGCTGCTAATGACAAGTTATTCGTCGAACTGGTGATTAAGCCTACTTGGTGCCAGGGTGGGAGCACAAGAAATCCTCTATCATTACCACAAAAATCTCACTCCTGAAATTCAGTCCAAGCACAGTGACAAAATACACCAGCCTCATTTTGTTTGGCAAAATGTCACTTACCCCCCAGCAAAGCAGCTAATGAAAAACTAATAAATGAAGGCTAATTACAGAAAGAGAAAATATTTCAGAAAATGGCCAAGAAAATCTACTTTGGAGAAAAGCTCTATGAAAACTGAATGGCAACAATTACAAACTAGTGAAAAGCAGACTCCAAGATTCCCAGACCATCGATGTCAGGAAAAGAAGCTGACCAAAATGCAAGATCACAGTGAAGTAAAACACAGCATCAGGGAAGATTACCCCTTACCTTCATCCGCAAGGACTTCCGGGATCCCTCTCGAAATGCCTATCCCAAAGAGGAAAACAAGTAGAACAAAACAAAACTTGGTACCAAGAATGACAGTTAAACCTATTTGAGACTAAAACTAAAGCAGGAACTAGTGTTCTATTCTGCCCCCTTTTCTCTACCTAACAAATACCACGGAATTCCCAAAAGTACTTTCAAGAATAGGGGTATAGCTCACAGCCAATGAACTCTGAAACTAATTCTGATAATTTCTATTGTGGAGCTAGGAAACTAACAGGGAAGAACATGCACCATTTAAATCCTATATGCACCCCTGACACTAAGAGAAAAAGTCAATAAAAAACCGTAAGTTGCAGATTTACCAGTTTTGAAATTAAGAAGGAAACAAAGACCAATCCCCTTAACAAGGGGTGGGCAAGTAACCTATGAGCAACAAAGTTGCTGTGATGGGGAAGAAAGCAAGCAAAACAGAACAGATTTCTCCTGGAAGCTTTTTACTTGAGAATACAGGAAAGTGACCACAACACTAAGGAAGACTAGACCATTCAAGAGATGTTTCCTGAATTTAGTTTTGTGATTTTTTTTTTTAATGAGGAAAACCCATCAACCCAATGACATGAGGTGGGCATGTAAACAGGACAAGAATTTCAGACTCCTTTGGGGCTGGAAGTCAGGGATATTATAAGGATAGTGGAAGCCTAGCTTCAAGGCTGCAATACGTACTGGTTTGTGCCAGGTAAGGCTGGAATTTCATACCTGGGATGGGTGTTGGTGTAGAACACACTTTGAGCCAGTGGTGATGGTATGATGTGGTAGAAGAGAGGTTGGTCTATATGTACATAACACAGATTATCTGATTTTTTGTAAGCAGAGCAAAAGTGGCCCTCTAACACTTAGATCAAATTACTTAAGAGTATTTTGGTGCATTTTTTGCTCCAAAATTTGAGCTACCTTGGAAATATTTCTATTTAGAATATTTTCACCATCCATACCTTGATTTTCTTCGTCTTTGGTGCTGCACGACCCTTTTCTGGACTCTTTTTCCGCTTCTTGGGTTTGGTTCTTCTAACAGTTAAGGTGATGCTTGTAGGTGTGTGCTGTGTTGCTGTATACAACACAGTGGAAGGAGAAAGCTCCTCATCCCAGCTTTCTGTTGCACTGCTATCCCCACCTGAAAAAAGATGATTTCACATTTCAGATACCACAAGCCTTAGAGGTGTACTAACAATAGTTTATTTCTTAGGTATGTACTCTATCATTTGTAAAGGAACATGAAAATAAGATCTTTTCCTTATGAAAATAAGATCCTCTCTATGTCACTGGCTTTAAGCATACACACTCTGTTCTATATTAAACCTATTTCTCCCTTTGAATAAAAAGGGAGATTGAATATAGTCTCCAAGCTCCATTGCCTCAATCGATAATAATTTAAGATGGGACAATAAAAAAAAAAAAAAAAAGGAAAGAAAAAGACTTTTTTGGGGGGTGGGGGATGTTCACAAGAAATAACTCTGATCTCTATAGGACTTAATGTCATTTCCATGATAGCATTATATAGTAGTTTTGAAAATACTTGTGCCTCTTTCCACAAAAAGAGCTGAGCACCACACAAATTACTGAGAGAACATTGAAATCACAGAATATTTACACATCAAACATGGGCACAACCCATCTTCTGCTCACCTGATATGTTGTCCTGCTTCCGCCGATGAAGTCTAATAACCTTCCCCCTGCTCATTCCCCTAAAGAGGGAAAATAAACTTAAAGTAGTCCTTCCAACAGCATGCAGCACATCATAGCACACATGGGAGAAGAGTCTCTGCACAGACTACCCCCTCCCTCCCACCTACCAAATGTTTCCAGGACATTAAATTTCATATCAAATTCAATAGCTTTAACATCAATCTCTCATTCCTTGTTGTCAGCAATTCTCACCTAGTGCAGAGAATTCGAGCCAAGGAGCACTAAGGAATCATCTACATTAACAAACACAAGAAAGAATACTTTGAGCTTTTCCCTACTAATAAGAAACCCTAATCCCAGCAACCCAGGCTTGAATTTAGATGGAACAGGATCTTACCTGCACTTGTCACAGTTGAGAAGGAAGCCATCCTGAGAAAGACCACAAGGACACCAGGTAGGAACAGTCTCTCCTTCAGAGTTCGGGCTGTCTCCACAGCGTTCCTCTACGGGCGACGGCAGGCCATTCAGGTCAGAACGAGGGATGATCGTCTGGACAGGGGGAGAAGCAGGAGGTGTCGGAGGAGGAGGGGCTCCGTAATTATGATCCTGAAAATAAGATTTTTTAAATCAACAGTGTCCAAACACTGGCCCCTCTCTCCCCTAAAGTATGGTACATATGGAAAGAAAGAAGAAAGTAGTACCCTTCGTTTTTTGGCTTCAACCAGGAAAGTGATAAAACAAAATGCCAAGGTCAACTGGGACATAAAAACAAGAACAATGATGCAGGGCTAGACGTCCGCTGGAGGCAGGGAAGTGCAAAAGGGGCAACTTCGTCATGCTGCATATAAACATTTCAAGAAAGTCACAATGTGTAAGAATGGATTACACTCCAGGAAGATCACTGCTCTGGAGAGAAACAAATGCATACTCACAGCATAAGGCAGTCCTCGACACCCATGCCTCTGAGTGGTCCCATAATTATGAGTGGAATACACGCTCTTCTCATTAACTGCTGGACTAGCCTCCACAGATTCAGGGCTGCACAAAGGCGAAAAGCAATGCATGATAGCATAACACCTAATCTTCCCTTAAACTAATAGTTAACTTCCCATTCTAACCCCTCCTCTTTCCACAACCACCAGCCACTAGAATAAGAGAGAGAACTCAGTGAAACAATTTGATTAACATAACTAAGCCTATAAATAACAGTAGGAGTGTTACTGAATGTGAATTTGTGTGTAACATGAAGCCAGTATAGGCAGATGTCTCAAGGTAGGCACCTGGGATACAAGGTGTCCCTAATGACAAACACAAACGTACCAGCTGAGCGGGGAGTTTCCCCTAGAGAAGCCACTCTGGGCTGGTTTAGACTCAGAACTATTCTTCTTAATTGGATCTCTTAATACTTCCATGAAACCTCACATGACATTTGCAGTGAGTGAGATGATGAAAGTGCCTTCTGCACTGCCCCAGGGACCAGGCCCTCTTCCATTCACTACCAAGACAGGATACCCTGAAGAAAGTACAGGTAAAAACAATGGCATCTTATATTTATCACACCTCTCATCTTGAAGAACCCCCAAACACCTTTCACATATTAGAGTAATAATTTCTCATTCACCAATGACATGCAAGCATATAAAGAACACAATTATTTAACAGCTGCATGGCAATACCCTAGGACTTCAAAATAATTAAATCTAAACTCATAAGTTACATTAGACCGGTGACAAATAGTAACAGTTGTATAAACTATTTTGTAATTTGCCTAACATTTGATTTATACTTGTTGATTCCTTTTAAATTCTGCAACCACTAAATTTGGTGAACAGCACCCCATTTTTGTAGAAGAGGGAGTTGAGAAGGTTAGAGTACATGGCTTCCCCAAGATCATATGTTGACAGAGCTAGGACTGAAAACAGTGCCTGATTCCAAAACCTACACCCTCTCTATTATGTCTTTTTGGAAACAAGGATAACATTTTACCTTTAAAGAAAATTATTTGAGACCTTTATTAACCAGGTTTAGTGAGAAACCTGGTTTAGGATCTTTCTGATTGAGTGAAAAATAAACGATTCAAGCACAATTTGTTATTATTATTGAATTTTGAATGTATTCAAATTTAGAAATTTAGTGTAAGCCTTTACTTGATAATAAAAAGGCACAGGTAGCCAAGGATAAAATAATATTTGTGGGGGGGGGAAAAAAAACCACCTCAGTTTTAACTTGTTACCTGGTAAGATTTGGGGGAAATTGGAATAATTATGGAACATAGTTGTATTACTCAGCAGAGATGAAAATGGATAATCTATAATTTATATTAATTAGGACAGAGATTCATAAGACAGACACTCCAAGGACTAGAATAACTCAACCTCAGAGATCAATTGGACTTTTAGGGAATCAAATAATGTGTAACGTTTGCTTCAAATAATAGACATTTTTCCTGCCTCAGGATATACAATATACAATATTTGGCAGGAAAAAAGAAGTATGCAGTCCAACTTGGCACATCAGTTGAGAAGTGAGGGATAAAAGAAAATTCTGAGATATGCATCCAACTCACCCAGTTTTATGCTCCAAAACTGTGAGAAGGGATCATATTAATAACAGCAAAGGAAATTTCTAGATGAAGAAGAACTTTAGACATAGGAAAGTATTCTCTGTTAGTGAACTGCATGCATTTTATTATTTAACAGTGTCTGCAAGATGGGAACTGGGGGCAGGGTGTGGTACATCAAGAATGCAGGTCAGTATTCTTGAGAAAAAGATGATCTGAACATGGCTTACTGAGAGGCAATCAGCTCTGAGTATTAGGAAACAGGTGGGGTTTCCTAAATGAAACCAAAGGCAGACAAGCATTAATAAAATGAAGGTAGAATTTAGTTCTATGATGGACAGTTAAAAGAGAGTAATGAATCTATACATAGTAAATTTACTAGGTACATTACTTGACAAACAAATATTCCATAGAGTTGTACATATTTCATATAGGAGATTTTGTACTATTAAACACATGGGTGAAAAATGACAGCTGTTCATTAGAAATGGTTTTTTTTTGGGGGGGGGACAGGAAAAACGAAAGTTGCATGAAATAAAAGATGGCCATGGAGATGGAGCTATGTTGGTTATATCTTACCCATCTCCAAACTGGGTAAATATGAACATATGCACTTCACGTGCAAGTCTAGGGAATAAAAATAAAATGTATATTGTGGAGGTTAACAGGCCATCCTACCATACAACACTTTCTAGTCAAGCATAGCATTTAATATATTGCCATGCATATCAAATCTAAAATTTAAACTCATTTCATCTGATGAAGAAACTGCATTTTCCATACTGGTTAATGTTTAAATACAGAGTGAGATGTTAATGGGTAACTGTAGGACTGTCTAGAACATTCCCTAACATATACATCAGTTCTTAACTATATTTTAAAATATAGATTAAAAGTTTGGATTATTAGGATTGCATCTCTTTTACTGGCCAACCAATTCATGCAAACATAACTGCAGCCTTTCTTTTTCAGTAAGTGATTTGTTTTAACAGTAGGGCACATACATAGAAACCAAGCTAACAACAGATATACTCCATTAATAGTACTCAAAGTATAATATGCAACCTGTCACTATTAGGCCACCTCTTAGAAAATGACTGAAATTCTGTTTGGGAAAAACTGGAAATTAAAAAGAAAAAAACCTTTGTATCTTTTGTTACATCTATAAGTTCTCCTATACATATTCAAAAACAAAGCAATACAAAACAACAACAACTCCAGCCCCAACGTATTGTATATTGCTGCCATTAAATTTAAAACTTATGAGGTGAGGTCTAGTCTTTGACTCTGGTATTATGTTGCACTTAATACCAGATTTAATCCTAGAGAGTGTATAGAACAGTGGGATAGACATGTTGAAACACTAACAAGTGTTATTAAAACTGAGCAGAATAATTAAAAAGATAATTATTGATGTCCTCTTCCTTTGTAAACCTATAAAAGGGATAGGTATGACATCAATTCTGACCATAGTATCAGAAACCTGTCTGAAGATTATGGATGAAAATGTTCAGGAAATCTTAGTGCATGACACTGCATTCAAATATACAGACCAGAAGATTTTTCTTTTCTGCAATCACTCCTGGATTCCCCAGCAACATTTGTAGGCAGTTATCTTTTTACTCTGGGGAAAATATCAGTTGTAAGAATAACTGCTTTGCATCTTTTCCTTATCTACTAACTCTAAACTTACTGATTTAGCCTTTTTGTTGAAATTTCTCACAAATGTCAATGCTGTCTACTTATACAGTCTGTTATATTGTAGCAGGTTAGTAGCTGACTTCATGAAAAACTACAAACACTATACAACTGAGCTATCTACTAATGCAGACAGGGCCTTATTTGGGGAAATAATTATAAAATTGAAAGTCTCAGATAATGGAATAACTAATCTCTTTGGCATGCAAACAACAACAACAACAACAACAACAACAACACAACAACAACCACCAAAACCAAAAGAAAACAAAAATTTAAAAAAGCTCTAGAAGGAACACAACCCACTCTTTCCCGTCCCCCACCCTCCTTCATCCTTTTTATATGGGAATAGACTTGAAATTTGCTTTCAATTCCAGACTACCCCAGGTTATTATATACTACTTCTTAGGGTAGCTTTATTTTAAATCTTCCTCTCCCTCCCACCCCCCACCTTGGAGCTGGGGATTGAACCCCAGGGTCTTGTGCATGCTAGGCAAGCACACTCTTCCACTGAGCCACATCCCCAGCCCTTAACTCTTCCTTGTTAAGGAACTCAGTAATGGACAAGTTAACAATAAGTGGCTTTGAAGAAATATACATGCTCTTTAATAAATATTCTCAGTTTTTAAGGAAGAAAATCACTATTAATGAGGGATGCCATTCAACCCAAAATTCTGGTACAGTTGCTTTGCTTTGCTGAAAGGGGAAGAATCCCCAGGAACTGTGAAAATGGCAAGAGAAACAGGGGAATTAGAGCAACACCCACCTCACTCAAGAAGTGGCTGTGGGATCAAGAGTCTGAACTGGACCTGAACATATTCAAAACACCAGGATTTTTCCAGCCCAGACCCTAATCCCTGGTACTGCCTGGAATAGACTTGGCTTCTGGGGGTGTGCTGCCCCCTAGGCCCCTTGGGTCTCTTTCGCTGGACTTTCACATCCTGGTGTAGTGCCACTTCGTCTTGAAAGGTAGGGGGCTTCCACTTCCTTTCTGTAAGCAAGGAAGATTGGGTACAAGGGAGGTAAAAGGACAAGAGGGGAATCTGTGAGCAGGGGGAATCTTGGACAACTTAAAAGAGAAGGGATACAAAAGACTAAAATTTTTAAAACTGTGATATAAAGTTGTATAATGAAGGCCTACCTTCATTGTCATTTGGCATTTAAATTCTTCAAGAACTGAGAGTTTATTTTAGGGATTGGGCTTTTCGACAAACTCTGAATTCCTAAAGCTGCTCTTAGCTGAAAAAAAAGTTTGGTACCACTGATTTTGAAGGTCCTCTTTCTAGGCAATGAATATTATTTAAAAAAAAAAAAAACACCCAGATGATACTGCTCTCCATATTTTCTACCCCCAAATCAGAAGGTCTAAGCAACCTGCCCACATAGTTTAAGCCCCTTTACTCTAGAACAATGAGAAGTACATAGGAAGAGGCCTTCAAAGGAAATCAGTTGGAAAGAACACCTCCTATCTCGCTCCATCAGAATAATCATTAACTCTATGGAAGCAGGTAGTGACACCTACTTTATTTCAATCTTCCCCACCCATCAAAACAAGGAAAATGCAATCACTACTTTGCAACTTTGATTCTATTAATTATTTACCCCCAAATCCTTCCCTAAAAGCTCCTTTCCTTCCCCTTCTAATTCCTTTTTCCTCCAGCTTCTAGGGGAGAAAAGGGCAAGGTCTAAWGTCATTTATAGTGGGATACACTTTGGTTAAGAAAATAATACATAGATCTTATTAACTACCATAAGAAAACTGTCTCCATACAAACTGGTAGTGTACCTATTATCTAGGAAGTAGCACTTACTCTGATCCAGCAGCCATATCTGAGTAGGATGTATCTGGTGTGGTGACTCCCAGAGGGATTGCAATGCTCATGACGTCAAACACAGCAGAAAATGGAAATCAAGGGATCCAATTAATGGAGACTGACCACTCTGAGAGTGGGGGTGAGCTCCAGAGCCTCAGCCAACATGTTATGGACATGAGGAATCCTGCCACAGGAAAGAAAAATATCTTGTAACTAGGTAGTTCATTAAATTTACCCTAAATGCTATTAAACATTTTTATATTGTTTTGATAAGGCCCCCAGCAGTGCAGGATCTAACAAATAAGTTTTAAGAAATAGGATGGTTATTACAAATGCATTAGTTTAAATAAAATAAATACTATAAAAAATTCAAGGTCTTCCTTTAAACTGTGCGCCACAAATAAACAAAGTTTTACAGATAGAAAAGATCAACTTGTTTGTATTTGATTGGATACAGTTGTTTCTTCCTGCATTCTTGTCACAGAACACTTTCTTCCTTCTTTCAAACCATTTTTATTCTAACTGTAATTTGGGAGGAAGATACAATTATCTTAAGGACTGTATTTGGAAGATAATATACACTGCTAGACATAAATAAAAACATAAACCACGGGGAAGGCTATGCATGTATGAATGCAGAGAATAAATGGGAAATCTATATACTTTTGGTTCAGTTTTGCTGAGAACTTAAAATTGTTTTAAAAAGAGTGTGTGTATGTGTGTATATATATCTTCTGTCCATCTCTCAAGGGGCAGCACAAAAAAACTATAACTACAAATAATATTGTTTCATGACAGAGATTAGAGAATTGTGTATGAAAAAAAGGACTGAAGGCTTGGTGACCACAAACCAGTGGAATTTGGGAGGAGAAAGATTTTCAAACTTCTGAAGAGAAAAAAGGGAAAAAAAGTATAGTAAGAGATTTGGAAGTATGGTACAAAAGGGAAAATTTGTACTATTTTACATTAGTGGCTTTATATCAATGTATAAAACAATTAAAAGGACAAAACCACAGAAGCATTTTATGGAGGAAAGTCTATGTGAATGTAGAAGATCAAGGTTAACAAGGATTTTTATAAAAAAGACTACATACATATCAATTCATGACAAATAAGAAGAAAAGCTAAACAATTATTAATACCCCCCAAACCACAGGAATAAAAAGTACATGACTCTGAATGAATCCAGGGGGTTAATTCAGATTTTCAATGGTAAGTTGATTTGAGATGTCTAAATCTTATTTTGACTGACCTGAATACAAAATCTGACTATGAATGAGGCAAAGATTTTTCAGAACACATGAAGATAACATTACTTTTGAGCCATTAGTTTAGAATGCTAGAATAGTTAGCTACAAACCAAGAAGTTTTCCCTGGCCCATAGGATATCAAAAAGCTGGCTCTCACCAATGAATCCATGACTCCCCAGGTGTTGCAATATACATGTTACTACCCAACTGGAGATAACAATGCTAGATTGGAAATTGAAATGCAAAGGAGGTCAAGTTTTTCTATCTACTGTTTCCTTATGGTTCACAACAGAAAAGTTACTTATTTACTTTTTGCCTTTGGGCCAGGCTTACACATAAATGTTTCCTTTCCCTAGCAATATATCTAAACAGATTATGGCTGCATATCCTCTAAGCCACTGGGAAACTGAAATGAAATCTGCAATGTCAAAACAGAGACCACTTACCAAATAAGCCCAAAAGGGCACAGTTTGGTTACAATTCTTTAAAAAAAAAAAAAAAAAAAGCAAGGCCAAAGTTGCCTTACCACATAACAAGAATAGAATCTAATAATGATCGCACCATCCCCCTTGACCACTAAAAGGAATCTGAATCGTGTTATATTTTCTGAAAAGGACATTAAAAAAAGGGAGGGGTTACTCAACACGAGGGGGGGGACCCTCTGGCATAGTCATTATTATCGTATGCCTATAAAAAAAGGGGGGGGGGACAATTTATAAACCTAGACAGAGGTTTTTTTTTCTGACATTAATTTTAAAGAGACATACTAAAAGAAAGAGTTAATTTACCTAATATTTCCTCCAGGAATAAATAATGATTTCTACATTCCCTAAAGAAATCCTAACACAGTGATTTAAAAAWAATAATACACATKCACACACACATATATATAGTTGTAGTTGGACACAATACCTTTTATTTATTTATTTATTAGCACGAGCTATGCATGTGATCTACCACTGAGTCATAACCCCAGCCCCAACACAGTGACTTCTGATAGGTGATAAGTAACTTTAAAAAACATTAAGTGGGGCTGGGATTGTGGCTCAGCGGTAGAATACTCGCCTATCACATGCAAGGCCCTGGGTTCGATCCTCAGCACCACATAAAAATAAAAATAAAGATATTATGTCCAACTACAACTAAAAAATAAATATTAAAAAAAAATTAAGTGAATTTCCTTCATTTTCCCTTTGTCTAATTTTATATGATCCTTCCTCCACTAGCTTGGCCAACTCATTCCAAATAATGCTTTCATAATAACAAGGCTTAATTCAAATTCTGATAACTACTTCAAATTTCTCTTATGTAACACTGAAAATAGCTGGGCATGGGGGCCCACGCCTGTAATCCCAGCAGCCCTAGAGGCTGAGGCAGGAGGATCATGAGTTCAAAGCCAGCTTGAGCAAAAATCAAAGTACTTAAGCAACTCAGTGAGACCTTGTCTCTAAATAAAATACAAAGCAGAGTTGGGCTTAGTGGTAGCCTGCCCCTGAGTTCAATCTCTAGTACCAAAAAAAAAAAAAAAAAAGGAAGAAAGAAACCAAACCAAAACAAAAAAACTACTGAAAATAGTTCCTTCTCTATATAATTAGGTAAAATGCAGGTATTAAAATACTCAGTGGTAGAGTGCTTGCCTAGCATGTGTGAGACACTGGGTTTGATCCTCAGCACCACAAATAAATAAATAAATAAAGGCACTGTGCCCATCYACAACTAAAAATAATAATAACAATGATAAAAAGCTCACTGAAGGCCCTCTAAAAGATCATCTAGATGCAATAATACTCTAGTTTTTATATACCAACACAACAGACTCCTGCTTAGTTTATCAAGCTCAGCAGTCATAGCAATTATTAATCTATAAACATATAATTTAGAGATGTGTACTGGAGAGAGCGGTTAAAAATTAACTGTGTCTAGGTGGAACAATTTCAAGATACCTTTTACTTGTTACTCTGTCTCTTACTACCAGAACATAAACTGTGTGGATAAGAATTTTTGTCTATTTCATCAGAYTGTATTTCCAATTGCCAAAACCCAACTGACATATAAAGAAGGTTCAAGAGATATTTCATGAGCAAATTAAAAACACCATTATTGTATCATGATGTCGGCATTCATTACATGCAAGAAATAAAACAAATTAATAATTTGGGTCAGTCACCTTTATATAGACCTCTGAATATGAAGTCCCCCAAAATTATCTGCCAGTAGCTCTGAAGACCTAAAAAAAGTTGAGACACAAATTAGCATAGGAAGAAATAACATGAATGAACAGAGAATGGAATTCTACAGACATATTAATGATAATTTTGTTTCATTTCTGTACAACATTTCCTCTGGTTTTGTTTACCATCCATTTTATCCAATAATACATTTGTTTGTCCTTTAACCTGCATAACCCATTTTCCTGTACAACCAGATACTAAATAAAGGGTGGTGAAGGAAATTAACTGTATTTAAGCAGTGATAAACACTTATTATGTCATTGGCTAATCCTTCTGTTTCCTTCAAATTAGAATTCTCTCCCATTTCCCAAGGGATTGTCTCTCTCCTCTGCTGACCCATTCCACTCAAGAAGCTTTAAAAAAAAAWAAATAAATAAAACTGTCAAATTTACTTTCCAGCCAGATGAGAGACTACAAACATCTATTAAGTTTTTTGGGGGGCAGGAGTGGGGTGCGGAGGGAAGTACTGGGGATTGAACTCAGGGTACTTGACCACTGAGCCCCAGCCCCAGCCCTATTTTGTATTTTATTTAGAGACAGGATCTCACTCAGTTGCTTAGCACCTTGCTGTTGCTGAGGCTGGTTTTGAACTTATGATCATCCTGCCTCAGCTTCCTGGGATTACAAGTGTGTGCCACTGTGCCCGGCCACCTATTAAGTTTTAAGTTCATATTATCCTTTACTTTCCTCTCATTCTATTCCATCTATCCTACAGAAAAGAATGACAAAAGGGATCAGTTGTATGTGTAAAGAATGCCATAATGGAAACATGCTGAAAAATGGAGCTTTAATTAATATTCCCAAAGGGAAGGAAAATAGATGAGCCAGATTTTGGGGGTGGGGGGCCGGCGGCGTCGAAGATCAGTATTCCTTATAAAATTTCAGTGTTTTCTCCAAAATATAAAGTTTAACATTAGCCAGAATGAGTTATTAAAAACTGAAATACTAATTATCATAAACATGAAAAAAGCTTTCACCGTACTCCAGTTACCAAGCAATAGAGCAATTCACTTTATTTATGTTGATATTTTATGGATTTGATTTTTTTAAAATAAATCATTCTTTTAAGAGCATACTCAGGAAGAAGTAGACTCCTTTAGCAATAGTAAACAAGAGAAAGGACAAGAGGGGAAAGAGAAATGATTGTATAGTAGCAGAAAAATTAATGCATCAGAATTTCAATTTCTTATCTGTTAATTAATAATTAGTGCATAAACACTAATAATAAGTTCTTGGATTCATAAACAGAACTAGCCTGTCCTAGTAATGACTACTGTTTTAAGTAGTTACCATCTACATGCCGCTTCTAGGGAAGAGAATGTTAAATAGAACATGCCAGAAGTGGTTGATAATTACCCTGTCTTTTTAATTGGGTTCAGAAATGACCAATAATTTCCTTATTATCATGGTAGTCTCTTTTCTATAAGATTTGCTGAAAGCCCAAGACCAATACAATCTATCTGGTCACCTTAACAGAAGACAAACAAAAGTGTTTTAACAACAATTCCAATAGAGATTTCAGAAGAAAAATTGCATCAGACAGGTGAGCCGGAAGCAGCTGGGAGACAAGAGTCCAATAAACAGCCAATCCAATGAAAGAAATTCAGAACAAGTCTGCTTCAGTAATCCTGTGAAGAGGACTGGCAGGAAGAGGAGTGCCGCTTCAGAAAAAGAACAGGCCTCATATGCTTCAGACAGTCTTTGTACTGAGGCTGTGGACCTTGGCCATTATCCCAGAAATGATGCAATCCTGATGAACAAGATCTGCTGCCAGAGAAACAATTGTTAACAGCCTATGCAGACAGCAACTCAGCCAAGGAGCAATTTCTGATCAGCTCTCTCCATAAACCATGAGAATGCCAAATCTCTTCCTCAATTGCAGTCTCCGATGAAACATAAGTGAATATATTTTCATATCTATAAGAACAAGTAATTTCTCAAAATGTCCTTTTCTTTTTAATTCCTTTGGCTTTGTAATATGTATCTACTTTGCACTTAAAACAAAACACTGAGCATTTTTACTTTTATATACTGTAATTTGTCAAACATTAACAGTAAGGTTATTACATACAAAATTTACACTTAACAGTCCTCTCTCTCATAAGAAAAATCTTTTGGGAGGTAGTAGCTTCTCTAAAGTGTGCCACTGAAACCTAGCATTCAATTATTAGATTTCAAAATAAAGACAAATATACACACTAATTCTGATATCAGAGAGGTACATTTCATAAATTTGAAATTATATGGAATTCAACGTTAAATACTGGCATCTTATTAGAGGAAAATGAAGAAAATGTATTCTTGCTTAGGTTGACACAAAAAGCTGATTAAGCAACATCATCTCACAATGCTATTCACAATGACTGAGGAGCAACAATATTACAATATCACTTCTGATCTTACACGAAGGTCAATATTTTTTTTTTCATTTTGTTAACCACAATTTAGTTAAAAAAAATCCCCAATTAAAAAATCTCCAGGGCTGGAGCTCCAGTAGAAACACTTGCCTAAYATATGCAAGGCCAACTGCAAAAAATAAATACATGAGTAAGCAAAAATCCTCCCTTGAATTCTCATTTCTAGGCCTGTTTTCTAGTTTTGATATAAGGTTTTTCACATTATATTGTTACAAGGCATTTTTTCTTACTTCTTAAAGACCCTACATGTAGCAAATCTCACTTTGGTTGTAATCTGAAGCTACAACCAACCAAAATTCACTTCTGAAACCAACAGCCCTTAAATTGAGATTTAACAATAACACAAGCGTCTAAGACATGTCCTGAAATAAATGTATTCAGTCCAATGGACTATCCCTATATCTGGGACTATTAAATAGCAAAATTAATAGTTACATATAAGAGCTCTAAAGTAGATCTTGAATAGGCCAATAAATAAATAAAATTTCCTCATGAAGAAAAAAAAAATCATAAAAAAATTCAACTGGGGTCAAAGGGCAGTCATTAATGCTCAGTGGTAGAGCACCCACCTAGCATGTGCGAGGCCCTGGGTATGATCCTCAGCACCACATAAAAATAAATAAATGAAATAAAGGGATTATGTCCAACTACAATTAATTTTGTAAAACAGTAAAAAGGAGAATGGGGAAAGAATATTAGGAATTTTTCTGAATGATGATTTTTTACCATCAATTTTAAAATCACAGCTCAAAATGCAATAAATATTTAATTGCATTTTTACCTACATGATATCTTGTTTGAGAAGTAAACATAAATATATGTGGCAAATGCACATATTATATAGTCTATATGCTTATTTTCCATCTCAATCTGAACTTGGAGCTAGGAAAAATTCCACAGTTGTATCATAATATATAGCTTTTTTTTTTTTTAAGAGAGAGTGAGAGAGGAGAGAGAGAGAGAGAGAGAGAATATTTTTTTTTTTTTAGTTCTCGGCGGACACAACATCTTTGTTGGTATGTGGTGCTGAGGATCGAACCCGGGCCGCACGCATGCCAGGCGAGCGCGCTACCACTTGAGCCACATCCCCAGCCCTAATATATAGCTTTTTAGCCTGGAAGAAGTGTTATTCCAAGTGGCTAACACAATTTATGTAATGTCTATCATCTCCGTTTTCTCATCTGTACAACAAAAGCATAACAGTCCGGCTGCCTCATATGTGCACATGGACTAGCATTTGTAGCAAATAAAAATTTAAATGGCTTTGTCTCTTTTAAGTGTGTGAAGACGAGCTACTCATAACCTGAATATAGCTAAAAATGATTTTCACTCTTCTCTATTCTTATCCAATAGCATGAATTTAATTTTGCTAGAGCAGACAATGTGGGAAATATGAGAACAAAAACAAAACAAAACGACATAAAAGAAAAAGAGAGAGAGAAAGGTAATAAGCATTAAGAGATGCAGTAAAAAAGTTCATGCAACTGATAGGCTTACAATCTGAAGCAAGTGAATGCAGGTAAAAGATCTAGGAGTTCAGAGCTGAAGAGAAAAAGAAGAAAAAACAATGATTGGGGTAAACATTAAGAGTCCAAAGAAGCATCATGACTTAGTAAGGTAGAGCAAATATACATTTTTTTGTTGCCTCCCACCTCTTCTCTCCTATACAAACAGTTTATCCTTTGGTTTCTTTGCTTGAATTATACTCTAGGGGCTACTGGGCTTGCATAATAAACCAAGGTCTATAAAAACTCTGGAGTTTACTAGCATAGAATATAATTAAAAGTCAATTAAAATAAAAACTCACTTTATTCCATAGTAAGAATTTCTTCCTCAATGAAAAATTTCATTTGTAATGAATATTACGGAGACCAAGTCATACACAATAGTACTTGGAAGAGACAGGGGGAATGCTGGTAGTGTTAAGATTATGTACAAGTAATAGAACTAAATACTATGATTTTAAATATTTACTGCTAAACTAATCAATAATGCTTAGACTCTTTGTATGCTTAACAAGAATCAGGAAGAAATCTTCTAATTATCAAATACAGTTGATTCCCTTGAAGAATTTAGTTTTTTAAAATTGTTAACAAGCTAAGAATACACATCCTGTGTTCTTAGGCTCAGAGTATGCTTTGGAGATGGACGCAATAGCTTTATTTCATTCATTTATTTTTATGTAGTGCTGATGATTGAACCCAGGGCCTCACACAAGCTAGGCAAGTGCTCTACCACTGAGCCACAACTCCAGCCCCCTTGGAGACTCTTACCAGGAATGTACCCCACTAGGTAGGAAGAGAACCCTCATACCTCTCTACACTTGGTTGCCTCTGTGAATTTAAACCTTTTTCGTTTTCAAACCCTGAAATGAAGATCACTTTTACTTATAAAGGTGATTATGTACATTCATAGGGCATTAATATCCATTATACTTTCACAAGTTTAGGCAAAGGCTTCCAGAGTTTGAGAGTTTAGAGTATAATTCATTATTTTATGGATGAAGAGAATAGAAAAAGATTAACTTGTGGGGTTGGGGGTGAAGGTCAGTAGGAGGGCATTTGCTTATTAGCATGTGT